ATTGTATATATCTATAATATTAATTAATAAAATATTAAATTTTTTGGATATTGATTTTTTAGAAAATTTAAGAAATAAACAACTCTAAAATATCACATGACCGTTAGTCACTCTTATTCTTGAGGCTGAAACTCAATTTTCAAATAGCAACCTATATTAAATATTCCATAAATAGATTAAGTTTTAGTTTAAACAAATATGTTTGATTTCCGTCAACCTGTCCGACATATTCCACTTTTAAGTTTGCAGTTTTGTTTGGGGAGAGTAGATAGTGAATGAAGCACTATTCAAACGCTACGTGCTGTGCCGCCACACAAATGATACTCCACTACTATTTCCTTATCCATAAAACTACAAACTTAAAAGTAGAATATCTCAGTTTTTGTTTCATCCCCAAAAATAAAGGCATTCAAAAATAACAGCAATGTAAAATTTTAAATCGGCTTGTTTCTTATAGATTTTCCTAAAAAACAAATTCCGAATAAAGTTATACATAATAATACATACGGATAAAAATGAATTTATTACGTTGTAGTGATTTCTCTGTGTAAGTCATATTTCCAAATGCTCTTAATCTTGTAATTTTGAAACAACCGTATTTCAGTATATAACAATAAATTATCTATAACTAACAAAGATAAATATTATTTAGATAAAACATATAATAATTAATTTTAAATATTAACGTGAGATTGATGAGTACACATTTACCGTTATTAGATTGATATTATTATATCTATTTAAATTTTAAATTCAATCCGTGCATGCATTACTGCTGTGAATGAATGTGATCTATAGGTAATGGTGGTTTTTATTTTTAATATATACGCGCATACACGTCATAAAATTACGATCATAAATAATAAAAATGACAAAAGTAGACCTGTGAAAACAATGGTATTCATCCGTGCTAATAAATGATTGAGGTGGATATAAATAAGAGGCCACAAAAAAAAAAAAAAAAAAAAAAAAAAAAAAATGAAAAAAATAAGTGGTAAAAAATAAATAATACAACAAAGAAAGAAAAATCAGGGGTGGTAGATTCCATTAGAGATCTTTTAGAATTCTCTTCAAACGCTATTGACGACGACGTGTAGTAGATTAAATACGGGTTTACAACACGTGTTCATAACTCCCATGACGACAAATTGTCCATTTTCTCTGTACAGTTCAAAGCCAAAGGGTCGTCCCCGTCATAACATTCCCCCTGTGGCCCTGTGACGCTTATGATTTATTACATACCACTACGCGACAATCATTAACTTAAAATACATCGCTTATAACTACCTATACAGGCGAAAGCGGCACAGCGTTTCAACCTGTCGACTAATGCGTGAAAAAAAATGAACAATATTAAAAATTCCGTTCCATTAAGTATACGAGTTGAATTTTTGAATATAAATTGTATTGATACTTTTGGAATAATTTTCGATTAATATGTTTTAAATACATAATATATAGGTATACGTACACCTATAGATAAGTTATTCAAATATAATTAAAGATTCTTTTTTCGAGGCCATCCTCATCAATACACCAATGTCGTTTCTATAAAGAATATTTTTTTTTTTTAATGAGTCAAAATATTTTAGAAATTTTACCACCTAATAAATGTTAACATGCGTAACCAGTGTAAATTTCAGATTTCTACGACTATATTTCTTATTGAAAAACAACAAAAAAAAAAAAAAACAATCGGTGATGTGAATTTTCTCATTTTTCGGTTTTCTCCACAGGTAGGTACAATTCATCAGCAAAACTAAATTCACAATAAGAAACCATTTCAGAAACAGAAAAAAAGTACGTCATTGTTCAGAAACTAAAATATACAAATAATATTATAATGCATTAGACGTGTAAAAAAAAAAATACATGAAACCAGCATACAATTATAGGTGTTATGCCTATTACATATTATATTATTATTATATAACATTATAGAGTAATATTATATGCGATATGAAAATAGTAAGCTTGCGTCGCCAATTAAACGTAAGAACTCTATAGATATAACAACTACTATATTAATATAATTAGTTGTGAAGGTATAATATATTGTACTTACATACTGTGATAATTTTTTATATGAATAATACAATTATATTCTATACAAATGCAATCATTTAACATTGTATAATGTGTAAATAGAAAAAAATATGATTCGTCACAACATTTGAACATTACAATAAGCACTTTGTACCTTTTTTTTTTTATAGGAATAGGTAAAATAGATAAAAATTAATAGAAATTTAATAGACAAATCAGTTGTAGACTGATACAAGTATAATATGATCTTGAATGATAATTTGCAGCCGGAGTCTACAACTGTTTTTTTTTATCACATTTCATTTTTCTATTTCATATTATTTCCATCACTATGCATTGTGTTTCACATAGATGGTAACACGAAATATTTCTGCCCAGTGACCTCGGACTACAATGGGGTTTTCAAAGGAAATCAAGACATACTGAAATACACATTTTTTATAGATTTTCAAATTTCTTACCTTTAAGTGTGCGCATGAGCAATAAAACTTGCATTTTTTTTTAAATAGATACACCTATTTTCAACACTAGATTTAAATAAAACATTTTTTTTTTTAAGCAAATTACATAAATAAATTTTTCCCTTATCTTGAAAATTAGCCAAATCCCAGATTAGTAAAGTTGAACAAAAATTATTTACCTAATTATTATTCAGTTAATTTTATTTTAAACAATTTATACAAAAATAAAAAAGGAAGGACATACTTCGTAAGTGGGCGCAGACACTTTTGTAGGTGGGAAGATGGGAAGGTAGGATACAGAAGGGAATTTAATGAATATCTGTAAGCAACGATAAACCATTGCTAATGAAAAAACGATTCTAAATTGAGTTCAGTTAATAGTGTTGCTTTGTCAACAATACATGTCATATTATGGTAAAATAATTACAACAATGTGCGTTTTCATGACAACAATAATTGTTTAAAAACGATTTTAAAATAATACAAACTTAATAATAACAAAACATAAATAAAAACGGTTTTTAATGACAACCTTATTTTTAATCTTTCAATCTTTTTTAACCTAAAGAACCAGATTTTCCTTATTATCTCGAATATTAAAGAGAATTTCAAAAACTTACTTACCACTCTAAAGTATCATCCAGAGAACATTTTCTTTCAGAAAAAGTGCTATGCACGCTAAGTTCAAAATCTTAATATTAAAATCTTTGAATTCGAATAAGTTTCGTTTAGCCATACCAAAAATAAATAAAACTTGATATTGGATTGCTAATTTATGAGATTTGAACATAACCTACCTAGTGATTAGTAGTTTATAATCAAACAGTAAGTAGGTACCGAAATGTTTAATTTAAGAAAAATGGAGTATATAGACTATATTATATAGGTTAGGTACCTATCGGATTATATAGATGATGCTATGACAATATGTGTTTTAACGTTTAATATTATAATAACACGTCATAAAATTTCACTTTTCCCTTCACTCAGCTGACAAATCTGCAACTCTACAATTATGTTAAATTGTTATCTGGTTAATTAAAAACAACGATTTAATTTCCATAAGATAATGTTTATTTAACACAATAGTATTGTAATGTGATTGTACAGTGAATGCTTATACTTGGTAATAATTATTTTACGCAGTTGTATCATTTTAAATAGGTATCTAAGTACAGAGGTAGGACTGTAAGAGGTAGGTAGTACCTATAATTTATATCGTTTTATGAGACACATAAATCGATGAGTAATCGACCGAAATAGCTCATTTGGGAGAGCGTTAAACTAAAAATCTAAATTATTGTCCATTCTAAGATTTTTTTTTTTTCTTCATTTTTGCTCAATTATTTAAAAAAAAAAAACTACATGAAAAATCAAAAAACAACTTAGTCACTAACTAGATTAAAAATGCAACAAAAAGGACTCTTGTTGTTTTCCTATTAGAACAATATTCCTGATAGAAAACATAAGGCGTAAACATTTAAAATAAAAATCCTAACTCCATACATTTATCAGTTTTCATTTTTCGTCTTTTTCCAAATTACCTAATTATCATAAAAAATACTCAAAAAATCAAAAAACAACTTTCTTCTTGAACATCTAGATTCAAAATGCAAAAAAAAATGTAACTTTTTGCTATGAAATCGGTAACCCCATGGCGCACCGTAATTACAAAAAGAACAACAAATATTTAAATATTTGTTATTTTACCTAGAATTATCTTTTCAGTTTTTCCTAATTATTGTGAAAACCTGGAAAATCAAAAAATGATCTATCTAATAATGCACTAACTAAATAAAATTTTCTTTCTGAAACACCAAAGTAAATCCAAATCTAAATGATTTACTTATATTTTCACGTAACCACATTTCCTATTAAATATTCGTAATTTTAATAAATAATATCTACTAGGTAACTGTACGAATTAATTTTAATTAAACATCATTATTTAATGATGCTATTTAGTTAGATTTTAAATTTTTATTTTGAATTTCTGAAATTGAGTTGGTTACAGAGATACAGACTGTTTTGCACACTATTTTTGTATTAATTGCACTAGGTATTAAAAATAATATATAATGTCTAATTATTTTAAATTTGTTAATAAATGTATTAGTATTATAACCTAACCTAACCCTCATATGGACATAATATGATTTTAAATTCAAATAAATAGACTTATATATAAAACCTAACCTAACCCTCATATGGACATAATATGATTTTAAATTCAAATAAATAGACTTATATATAAAACATTATCATCTAGCCGAAATAGCTCAGTTGGGAGAGCGTTAGACTGAAGATCTAAAGGTCCCTGGTTCGATCCCGGGTTTCGGCAAAACTTTTTTTAACTTTTTAATCATAGTTGAAACTTTTTTTTCCGTATGTAATGTATTCAACATTTTTTATATGATCTAAATTTAAATTAACGAAATAGTATACATTTATTAATATTATTTTGTTTTAAGTAACCCAACTAAAATATTATCTACAATTTCGATAAACGTAAAACTAGAAATGTTTGGCTACACTGTACGATTGTTACTATCACCATTTTGTCAATATAATATTTACATAATGATAATCAATTAAAAATTGTTACACAATAATAGCTGGTATGTACTTCACTAGGTACTTCATTAAATTAATTATTTACACATATATCCATTTATATTTTATCCAATAGCTAACCTCATTATAAATTCAATGTTTTAGTTCAATTGTTACCATTATTCTGTAACACGTCATGCAGTCGACCTGTTTTTCTTTTAAATTTTAAATATAATGTAAGTTGGCACCTACCACCAAACTTCGATAGTTAAGTGAAAGTTACAATTTGGAAGTTGTATTTGTATTATAATAAAGTAAGTTTTCCTAGTGATTCCTCGTACATCTTTAATTTGTTTAATTTTTCAAAAATATACATTATAGATATATATTTTATTATAATTTTAATAAATGAAATCCATAACCATTTGTCATTCATGAATGGTATTAATCAATTTTGAATAAAAGTAAACTTTAAAAATTATGAAATAATTTGTTCTTATATCATAATAATAACTAATAATCTAACTAATATATTTAGTTCCCATAGAGTCTAGTTACCTGCAAACAAATTAACTACTCAAAATATTTATTATTTTTCTTTTTTAAAAAAATATTGAAATATATCCTCTATTGATTTTTAGGTAAATAACAATATTGTATTACATTTAACAATATTATTTACATTACTTTTATAATTTTATTTTAGGTAAATTTCAGATAAAATCAAAGATGAATCTAGTCAGAAATCCAAATTATGAATAAATATTCAACAACCATTATGGATATACAATAACGTACGGCTTCAAATATTCACTTAATAACAACTTTACCTCAACTAGATCAATGCTTTTCTTTTGGTGTTGGAGAAACTTATCTTTCTAAGCTATTAAATTAAAATAAACTGTTTATCTTTATATTATATTTATATTACATATTATACCTATAAGGAATAGGTAAATGAGCATGAATAACACTTTTAACAACTAAACATAGCACTTACACGACGTTAGTTATGGGAGTTGTTAAGAAAAATAAAACTGTAGTTAGGAAAAGTCCAAGACAGCATCAATGCAAATATTGTTTTAAGGTTTTCCCATTTCCCAATGTATTGAAAAAGCATTACAGGATTCATACTGGTGAACGACCATATGAGTGTGATTTGTGTGGAAATAGATTTACTCATCAAAATACTCTAAAAAATCACAAGTTTTGCATTCACAACTGTGGTCGAGAAGAAGATTTTACATGTGGTCATTGTGACAAAAAGTTTCCCCTTAAAGAACGACTAATTGAACATGTGCGCATTCACACTGGATATTTTCCTCACAGGTATTTTTTTTTTTTTACACTTTTATTAATCAATAATTTAATTATATTTTATAAACAGGAAAAATCAAATTTGAAATTAAAATATCTATTATTATTTAGAGTAGATACTTTTGTATTTTTAATTATAAGTTAAGTATTAATCTTTGATCATGGGACCTTTAGTAGATTTTTTTAAAATCGATGGTTAATAATGAAAAAAAAAATTACATACATTTAATTAAATGTTTACTATTTTTTAATTTCAATACATTTGTATACAATGAAACCTTTGTTTACCTACAAAGAATTTAAAATTTTCTTTTATAGAAAAAAGATGTCCCCTATTGGAGAGATAAAATTTAGAAGTATTCTAATACTTCACTATTTAAAAATATCTACTTGGTAGTTACTATGTACTATTGAGATTTATCTTTAAACAAAAGTTTTACTTTATCACTGTTGAGTAATGTATATTTGTTAAAAACAAATTATAAGATGAAATTTAATAACTCAGAAGTTAATAAATATTTATATTTCGCTCTAGATTAGGGGCATAATTATTATCTTTTATTATTTCAATTGTTATTTCTTGAGCTACTTTTTCTATACATTTTTAGATGTGACAAATGCTTAAAATCCTTCACAAGAGCCAGTCAACTATGGCAACACGCGCGTTCTCATAACAAACAATATACGCTAGAATGTGCAATATGTCATCAATTATTTGCATGTCGATCAGTTCTTCGTGGTCATATGAAACGGCATATGGGACAAAATGATTATGTATGTGAAGTGTGTGGCAAAGCATTTTTACGTAGGGATGGTCTAACTAAACATCTATCTAGCTATCACAATAATATCAGAGCATTTACATGTAAAATTTGTCATAAACAATTTAAAGGACATATGATACAACATTTGAGAACACACAGACATGAAAAACCATATGAGTGCAAGAGTTGTGATGCCCGTTTTGTGCAACGTTCTCAATTAACAGTTCACGAAAGAAGACATAGTGGAGAGAAACCATATCCATGTCCAGTTTGTAAAGTATCCTTTGCACATTCAACTGCTATGAAAATGCATGTGAGACGTCATACAGGAGAAAAGCCATTTAAATGTCTAGTTTGTACCAATACAGCATTTACTCAACTACCACATTTAAAAAAACATATGTTAACCATACACAAAACTGATAAACCATACCTGTGTGTAAAGTGCAATTCATATTTTAAAACAAAAACTCAAATAATAACTCATGAAGAAACATGTTCACCAAAACAAGAAACTAAAGAATTTATTCCTCCTAGTATGGCTTTGGATCGAATGCGCATGTTATTAGCAGTTTTGTTGATACGTATATCAACCACTGAACGTTTAAATGCATTAGGGTTTGGAAAAAGGCTTATAGATTTGGTATTATGTGATTCAATTGAAAACTCTGGTCGTAGCCCTTATCGTGGAAATGACCTAAGTGAAAATGATTTATTAAAAAAGAATATTGAAATATTACTAGACTGGACTGTACCAAAAATGTATATGGATCGGTTCAAGAGTGAACGACGCACAACTGAAGAAATTTTAGAGGAACTAACGTCGTGACTTTAGCATTTTAGTAACTGCCTATCACTTGTTAGCTTTTCCATAGGTTAGGTAAAAATAATCTATACTTCTAGGCACAGTTCAAGACTGTGCATTCAGATCGAATTTGTGCCATTATTAGGTTTCATTAAATAAATTTCCAAAGTAATATAATTATTTATGGTATGTATATATTATAAAACTTTATAATTATTATGAATATAATAAACCTTTATATAATGACACAAATACATCAGAGATTCAATTACTTAATGAATCAAGTTATATAATGCAATATGTATAAGCTACTTGTTCTTCTAAAGCTATCGTGCATCACTCTGTTTAAAATTATAGCTCAATTGGTGACGGTAAATTTATAATATATAATACTGAATATCTAAGTATTTGATAATGTAAATAATTCTTTATATTTATTGTTATGTATGTTCAAACCAGCAAATTTTAATTGTGTATTATACAAATTACAATTATATGTAGAAGTTAATTAATGACATAGTAAGCTTTTATTCAATAGGTAATGGAAATATTAACTTTATTAATATATTAAATTGGTGTTGGTTTTCACAAATGTTAATATATTATAATAATGTACACCTCCCTTGCTTTCTGCTGTAACTAATTTATTATTATTTGTAGTTTGAGTTATAAGACATCTAGTTAAATTTATTATTTATTCAAACCAAAATGAATTGTTTTTAGGTGTTATGTTAACAACTCGGATGCCAAAGTTTATAAGTTTATAAATTGTATTATTTAATTTTTAATTTTTTGTAAACCAAAGACTTAATTAAGTGGATTACCAAAGAAGTTATTCTAGTCACACCATTAGTGAGAATGGTGAGAATCAAAACTTTATCATAACAATTTATTCATATACTTTCTTGACATTTAAAATATTTTTATTTTCGAAAAATTAAATATTAATGTAATTTATTTTACAATAAGTTTGATTTAAATTGAAATACATAATATTTTTTTACCATAATTCTTTAACTCTATTATTTTTAAGGAGTATATAATAATATAAAAGTAATTAAATTAATGGGAATAAATTCCTTAAATTAACCATAAAAAATGTATGTATAATTATAATGATTTGTTACTAATAATTAAGAAATAATTTAATTGTTGTGTTCAGTTTATATATATATATATATATATATATATATATATGTATAAATTACTATTTTTAATTGTTTTATCAAATATATATGTATCTATGATTATTGCAACTATTGAATTATATAATATTATTTTATTAAAAATTTACTTAGTGTGTGCTAATTAGTGAATTTTAATGGGTGTATTGTTAAATATTTATATTTTAGGTTACCAATAGTGTGCATATTATTGTATCATACATTAATTGTTTTTTTCTCTCCTTTTTTTGGGAACTAATATTATTTGAAAATTTAATTTTTGTTTTGGTTTTTAAAAAAAAAAAAAACTTATTTAAAATTATTGTTTGTGTATTATTCTTTTAAAATTACCTTAAATTACTTCAATTTAAGTAGGTATAAATAATCTGAATATTTTGACATTTATGATTGTTTCATAAGGTTCAAAAAAAATGTCTGATAGACTATAAAACCAAGGTTGCCTAAACTTTTTTTGGTAAAAATCTACTAATATATTTTTCCTTTGAGGATCGACTTCCTGACGAAAATGTACACCAACCATACTTAAGCCCAACATGAGATTATCAAAACATATTTCAGCCGAATCATCTGAAACTACCAATTATCAACTTGTAAATTTCTTATCATTGTTTTTAATTAGAAAACTTGGAAGTTTATACGTCGATAATTTAAACAAAAATTAAAAAATTTGGAAGAATGTGCAAATTTTGAGTTAATTCCAACACAATTTTGATCAAATAAAAAATAATAAAACGACCTTTAGAATAATTTCTATGATAAAAAAATATATTATTTAATTAAGTTTAAAATTATTATTTTTAATTTCAACCATTTGTAAGCATTTAAATTATTCAAGTGTTGATAAACATCCACTTCTTACACATATTGGATTTACTATCAAAACTAAACCAATATATTTTCCAATTAACTTCACTGATTAAAAATTCAAAAAACTGAAGTAAGTTACTTAGGGCATCTGGTTAACTTGTTTTTCATTTTAAAATAATATGTACTGAATTTCTCTTCTCTTTATTTTTTTCTTAAAATTATTATCTATTATTATATTTATTTTTTATTTCACGAATTATTGGTTTGTTAGAAGATCTGACCTTATTTCTATTACAGCCGGCTTAAATACTGTTCTGCTGATTTATTTACGGTTGTTTTACGTGCTCCTGTTAAGATTTCATTATTTTAAATTTTTACCATTATATTTAATACCAGAAATATTGACCCCAAAGAAAAACAAGGGACCTTTTTTTGTTGAATTTTTTAACTAGTTGGTGTGTAAGAAAATCTTTTTTTTGATTTACTTTAGAATTTTTTAATAATTGAGCAGAACGTAGAAAGAACAGGAATATGTATAAAAATAATGATTTTATTATTTTCAGTTTTGTTTTTTTGTTTTAATTCAGTTGAAAATATTTGCTGAAACTTGAAATTTGGACAGAGAACTTAAATTTACCATTTCCAGGTGTGGTCAAATTTTCAAAACGAGTTTTTTTTTAAAAAAGCTATTTATAGATAATTTAATTTTACGAATTTTTATGTAATTTTTATTTAGTAGGTATTCTCAAGATAAAATTGTTAGACTAAACAGAAATGCTTAAAGACTGAACGGAATGTTCATTATAATTTACAAGTCATTCATAGTAGTAAAAAAAATAATTAGTGCAATGAAGTATTTGTTTTTAATTACTTAAAATGAAATTTTGTTGAAAATCGTAAATATTACGGCCTTTCAAAACATATTATATAAGTAACCAAATAAACTTCGTTCCGAATCGCTTTTCATTAGTAATGGTTTATCTGGTTTATCGTTGCTTACAGATATAAATTAAATAACTTTATGTATCCTACCTTTCCAACTTCCCACCTACAATAATGGGACGCCCGTCTCCAATATCAACTCGTGTTTATTTATTACTATGGATACCTACAGTTGCCATGATGATATGACATGGGCTATAAAATATTTACAATTGTAATTTGTACATTTTAGTCTGTTAACTTCGCTCTAATCTAATCATTTCAATCGTTCAGCATGTCAAACAATAATTTAGATTTAGTCTCTTTGGATTTGTTCAATGATCAACTCACCTTGGGTTTATTAAATGTTCTCGGTGAGTATTATTGTATAGTATCCACCTACCTACCTGACTTGGCTATTAAATAAGTACAGGTTATAGTGTTACACAGATTCACAGCCCCGTTTAACTTGTTTTGGTAGTTCCTGGAAGGGCCGAACGAACTATGTATGACGGGCTTGTCCGTTTTACTTCCAAACATTTCGCCATGAATATTTTGTGCTTTTCATTAAATTTATTATATTATACACGGTCTTCCTAAATTGGAGATCTGTAGGGGGGTTTAAACAACGAATCTATAGTTAGATTTACCTGTTTCGTTGTAGGTTTGTCATTTAATATAATAAAAAAAAAAAATGTAAAAGTTCAAAATATTCGTGGAGAAATACTTAGCATCAAAACGTTAAACCGATCGCGGCAGTGTCCTTACCTAAACGATTATATGAGTACATACCTTTCAAGTTTGTTCTCTATTTAAATATATCTTCGTGTAGATAGGTTAAAACTCTACGGTTTTTGAATTTTTTTTTTTAATGTGCAGAAAACACGCCAGGCGTAAGAAACGTAACGGTCAAACCAAGTTTGCCATGCGACAAAGCTAAAATAAGTCTATGGGAGCAACGAAACGCGTGTCTACTGCCGGACGACATCAGATCTTTTTACGCATCGTGTGACGGGTTTAAATTAACATGGTCATACAAATTAGAAGGTAAGTCTTCGTGAGTATCTCTGGCATCGGAAATACTTTAGTGGTTTTACATTAACTACGTAGATACATATTCGGTAGATAATGAGTAGTGGTAGTTTGTAGTGATACAATTTTAAATTGTATTTAATAAATTTTCTGAAGCAAATACAAGTAAAAAAAGCTGCCCTAGTTTAATGAGGACGGGTGCAACCACTGTTGTAGTTGAAAATGTAAAAGAGGAGAAATTCAATGTGCGTACCTATACCTCTACGCTACGATTAACCATTACTAATGAAAAACGGTTGATAGTGATGTTTTGTCAACAATATACCTATATGTCATATTATGATAAAATGCATATTTTCTTTAATAATATTTGTTTAATATTATACCTATTTTCTCGTTTTTTTTACCATTTATTAGAAAAATCAAAAAATGACCTTAAAGCACCTACCCAGTCCGGAGTTCCTTTCAGAAAAAATGCTATCATTATAAATCTGAGCAAAATTGCTAGTAGAAAAATTGTCTATAGAAAAAAAAAAATAAATTATAGTAAAACCAATACATTCATCGCTCCACTCAGAATCTAAAACAGGCATGTCAAACTCAAAGTACCAGTGGGCCAAATATATTGAACAAGTTACCAACACGGGCTACACATTAACATTTAATGAAAATAAAATATTTTAACCCATGAGAAAATCAAAAAATGACTTCCCTAAAGTACCACCTTCCCAAAATTGAATGATGCTGTTGAGAATATAGAATACCTATACAATTTATAAAACACTGATAGCTTTAGGTAAACTACCAAAGTAATACAAAAATAAATACTGCTAAAATATTATAGAAACACCCAAATACTTCACTATTGAGTTAGCATTCCACAAAACCATACAATAATTATTTACCGCAACCATGTATTATTTAAAAACATGATTTAGGCAACCACAACAGTTTGCCCATCGGCAATATCACTGTAAACACACTGTCGGAACTAGTCCGTCTGTGTGACATCAAATCAGACTCGGTAAACATAAATGTGATGCGCGACCTACAAATGCTGGACAAACTGTCAGACAAGAGCACACCTAACTTTGCTGAAAACTCTAAGATCTTTGAATTGGATTCCAGTCTGGATGTGGGCCATGTTTGCTTGGTGTACTTGGACGACCAGACAGAAGAGGAGACCTTATCCTCCTCTACACTAATCTCAGATAACAGAAGACAGGATGCAGAACAATTGCATGAAGAGCCCAGCAGGGCTTCTGTCTGGTTGTTGGATACCTCATACTGCTGGCACTTTCTCGCACCAAATTTCAGCAACTATTTCAGAAAGGCACTGGTGCACATGGGCTTGCCACACTGGCAGCTCAAGTTCACTGACATGGGGCTGACATCAACAAGCGAGGTAAGGAATTATGTTTTTATAAGACAATAAAATGGAAAAAAATATTTATGTACATCACTCTACTGTATTTTGTATACCTATTCAAATAGTGAATACTAACTTGAAATATTGGTTTAGTAATTTTTATCATATTTTGGTGTCAAAAAACCCATTACCTTTGATTATATTAATTCGTATTTAATTTTCAGTTTTTCATGAATCTGGTGGCTCCACACCTGAGCATAACCGAACGTGTTCCAGTAATTGAACAATTGGATGACGAAGAACAATCTTCCGCAGACACTGTTCAACAAAATCAATTTGATCCGAGCATTTTTAAAATGACATTCAAAACATCCAAAAGCAAAAAAATTCTACTATCGAAGAACACTAATCTGAATTAATTATATTGTTGAAATAATTATACTGTATATTTTGTTTTATTTAAAAAATTTATTACATTTATTCAAAATTATATTTTAATTAAATATCATCACTGACATTCCAATTATTTAACACACTTTTTCTCTTAGAACTAGATTTCAATTTTTTATTTTGATCATTATTTGTAGACAATTTTCTTTTAACTTTTTGTTTCAGCTTAGGTACACTAGCGCCCACAATAATGTCACTTTTAATATCAGCTTCTTCTTCTGATTCACTTTTAACATTTTCTGATTTACTATAAAAATTGAAATTTAACAAATAAGTTTTTAACTGTTAAAAAAGCATTATTAATTATAAGGAAGTTGTAAGCAGACTATTATTTAAAGTACTATTCAGTTTAATGATTTAAAATGAATTTAAATTAGTTATTTTATATAAACAGTGTCAAGATAGATTTTGACTGTGTTACCATGGAATATGCAAACAGAATAATACTTAAGATATTTAAGATAAATAATTGTATATTCACATGATAAAAAGTTCAATACTCAAACTTTTTATAGTACTGACAAGGACATTAAAAAACCTTTATGAAATTACTTGACCAGTCATATTGTTATTGGCATATACAGTGAAACCTCTGAATAGCGGACACTCTCGGTTGCCGAAATTTTGTCCGCTATTTGGAGGAAAACATGTTTTTTAACAAATAAATAAATTCAATAATCCGTCCCCGAAAAAACGTCCGCTATTTAGAGGTGTCCGTTAAGGGAGGTTTCACTGTATATGTATATGATACATGGGAAACTATAGCAGAATACCGTCGTTCAAAACAAAAATATTACCTGAAATTATTGTTATATGTCATGCAAGTAACTCTGCAATCCAAAAATATAGAACAACTTTTGCTAGGTTTTTGGATACCATTAAGTTCCCATACTGTAACATTACCGTCACTTAATGCTGTTACGAGCCATTTATTTACTTTTGTCAAACATTTCACTCTAGTTTCTCCAATTTTCATTTCCCATACACTTTCTTTTTTAATAATATCATAACAATTTAGTGAACCATTTTCAGAACCAAAACATACCAAATGTTCCTGCAATAATAAATTGTAGAGATAACACAATATTTTAATTACATAATTATAATTTTTATTACTGTTAAGAATGAAATTCCATGTATTTTTTGATTATTTTCAATAGTTACAGCAATACCTGCAGATTCTACATTATAAATCATCAATTTTGTGTTTAACGGTAATGCATAATGTTGTCCATCTGGAGACCAAATAATTTTATCAAAGAAGTAATATGAACTCATACTAATAAACAGGAAAGTAAATCAATTAACAGTTAATTAAAAAACTATACATAAATATGTTTACACATAAGTAGTACACTTACCTTGAATGGTTTGTAGTGTATGCAGGTCTTCCTTTTACTAAATTCCATGTTTTCATAGTTTTATCTTTTCCAACAGATAATGCTAATTTTCCACTAGGATGTACAGCTAGGTATGAAACAGCTATGTAAAAATTAAAACGTTTATTTATTAAATAACTGCAAGAACATTTTTTTGTTCAAATTCAAATTACAGTAATTGTAACTTTTACAGTGCAATTCAATAATTTATATTGTTTTTTAATTTTAAATTACATTTATTTAACGACCTACCTGATCCTTTATGGGCTTTATCCCATAGTTTCTTTAACTTCCATGAACCAGTCTCAAATATTGCTATAGAACCGTCATCACTAGTGCTGATCAAATGGGATTCGTCTGGTGTAAATGACAAAGAAGTCACTGTGCCACTGTGCTGTAGTATGGTATGAACATGACACCGCCTAATCATATTGTATACTTCAATGGTTTCATCGGTGCTGCTTGATACCATGTACTTGGATGAACAAGCCACTGAGCGGATACTAGCCTGATGCACATGGTCATTAAACGATTGTACTAGTTCCCGTTCTTTTGATTGCTAATCCCATAATTTAAACAATAATAAATAATTTACAATAATCCCTATATAAAATATTTTCCTACATAATAATTATTATAATATTGTCAAATTACTTGGCTTTTGAAGCGAAATTTTAAACCAATAACGAATGATTCGTAACTACCTAGAATAATTTCAAAAATATCCATAACATCAAAATGTGTACAAACGCTCAACACGAAATCAAATAAAACCACGTTTATAGTATCAACATCAGACTGTTTATCATAATGCGATTTCATTATCAAAAATTATCAATTCAGATTAGATATTTCATAATCTCCCATGATCCTATGATCTACGGTCTACATAACATACATGGTATCATTTTGTTCCACAGACATTTTGATCCACTACGGGGACGTTTTGATCCTTTTTAATATTTTTACAAAAATAAAAAAGTACATTTTATTCCTTTTGGAAAAATTAATAGTTCAACAAAAACAAGCGTGCTCAGGTATATTCCATTTGAGGGGGGGGGAGGAAGGTTGATTAAAATGTTTATTTTTAACTAGAAAATGTTATCACATGGTGAATTAAAACTATTAATTGTCTGTTATGGGGGGCTGGGCTTAAACTCCACGAACCCCCTTTTTGAACATGTCCTTGGTGCAAGTTAGGGGTATATTTGCGGGACCCTCTCGCAAATGATCCATAGACCGGCTATAAACCCATTCATTTAAGTTAATAGGTCTATAAAATGATCTTTTTAAATGAAAATTTTTTTTTTTTGTATAGAATCGATACTAGTTTTGAGTATTATAAACATCAAGCTCTAAAAACCAAATAATTTTTTAACAATTCAAAAAATGTGTTTTCTACATTTTGCTCACTTATAATTAGAAAAATTATATTTTCTACTTTTTACCTCGGCATAGATATAAATAGTTGCGCGTCGGCCTATGCCATGGATTAAGATCTTAATTCGTGGCCTATGCTGAAATAGCGTTGACGAAAATTCTTATCAAAAACCTCATTAAAAAACCTACAGTTTTGCAGTGCGATCTGGTATGAGAAATAATAACTAATATATTATAGCCGTATAAATCAATGGTAGGTGATTTATAACACGTGCCACGGCGGCACGGCGCGGCGTGAATCCCGGAAAAAAAAAATATCCCCAAAACAACTATACTGTCAAAATTGTATGTATAAAAAGAAATTGGGTACAGTTCCATCGTCAATGATTTGAACGTGTATTGTGCACACAGCGGCTGTTAAAAATAACAATAATGATAATAATACATAATTTAATAAAAATATAACATCAGTCAGTAGTTCGCTTCCGTATATTATTGGATACTGCTGTCGAAAAAAAAAAAAAATCGTATGTATTTACCCAATTCCACAATTATTATCGTTTTAAAAGTCAAAACAATTGATTTTCGATTATACTAGCTGTCCCGCGCCCGGCGTTGCCCGTGCCAATTATCATTATTATTATTAGTATTTTACCCAAAGGTATCCATTTTTGGTTTTGACCGTGTCAGAATTGAATGAAAACAAATAGGTGGAAAGTGAGTTCTATTTTGAAATGTTAACAGTGTAAATAATAGTAACAATAATAATTATAACAGTTTTATTTTCCGCAACCGTTGAATGAACACAAAAATAAATAAATAAGCAATCAGATATTCGTATCAAATATCCCTGAAAACCATTAATTTTTTTTTTTTTTTCTATAGATATTCTGCTATTCGGGGCGGAGACGAATCCAACAAATCAGAGATCACCAAAACCGGTCCAGCCGTTCTTGAGTTATAAACGGTATAACCAACTTTGTTTTATTTATGTGGATAGCAGGTAGAAGACCGATTATAAACGGCTCATGGCACAGGGACATTTGTCAACTAAAATTATGGTTATGCGGGCTTCCCTCGAGAGAAAACACGAAGAGAAGTTAAATTCGAAAAATTATTTTTTCTGGAATGTTTGTTGTTTCGTTTGCAATCTATAGACTGAAAAATACCACGCGGATGACAATGATCGCACGATAATTTGTGCGTGTACATAAAATTGAAGTGCCTATCTCTGTAAACTATTTTGAATATTTTCATTATTATTGTCAGTAAAGTTGTTTTGGGGATTTTTTTTCGGATTACCTCGCGACGTGGACCCTGGCTTTGCGCGTTTCTTCCGGTGTGTCGCAAATAATAAATATCCATGCGGACCAATTAAAAAATAATAAAAAAAATAGTCACCAAAATACCTACATTTGTTTTACCTTTTGCAAACCTTTAACCCAATTAACGTCGATTAACATTCCCGTGTGGAATACGTTAAAATGATGTGCTGACGGATATTTTTGTTTCATATATAACAATGAGAATGTAATAAATTAGTTTTTTAAAAAATCGAGGAGGAGCGAAAAATTTTAAAATCTTAAATGTACAAACTTGTTTTACAGTTTAATTGAGTTTTATCAACTGGATTACAGTTGATTACTATACATTGTATAATACACCGTGTGTTATACAGAAAGTATACCCAGGAAACAACCACCTACTACTCGTGATAGAATTAAATATTATCTATCATGCTATTAGTTATCTACCTATGAACATATTACAACGTATTAACCTCAGATCATATACCATATACATCATTGTATATGATCTACGGTATTGACTGTGTAGTGTATTTATAAATAATACAGACGTCTTTGGAGAGAGTGTATAAATATTTGTGTATTATTTGGTATTATTTTAGATTCTGAGTGGAGCGATTATGGTTTTACAACGTTTTCTTTTTCTTTATCTGTGCGCGACTTTTCTACAAGCAATTCGGCTCCGATTTACAACGATAACACTTTTTCTCAAAAGAAATCTGACTGGGCAGGTACTTTGGAGAGGTAATTTTTCGATTTCCCCAGGAGTTTTCTGAACAAATGGGAAAAACGGGAAAATCGGTACAACAGTAAACGAGTATTATTAAAGAAAATACATAATGCCCACCTATTTAATTATTTTGCTACAATATCAACATGACATAATATATTATATTATATTGTTGACAGACCATCACTATCAACTAATCTCCGTACAGAATCGTTTTTTCGTTAGCAATGGTTTATGGTTGCTTACAGTTAAATTACCCAATAACAGTGGCTGCACCCGTCTCCATTATCCTAGGACACCTTTTTTTTATCATCCATTTCATAGGGCTATACATCTATAGTGTATTAGTTATTATTGCTCATACCAGGTCGCACTGTAGTACGGCAGATTTTTAATGATTTTTGTGATAAGAACCTTCCCGGTCAAATATTTTCGCTCGTCGCGCAACCATTTATATTTTATATCTTTAACCGTGCTTTTTACTCGCTTAATATAATACCATCCGTGATATAAGATCTGTGTTATCCATAGACATTATACTAATAGACGCGAAACTCGTACGACTGCAGCATTACGAACTGCGTGGAAACATATTACAATGATGTATGATGTATCCCGCCTTGACATTAGGTGTACTAGTTTTACATTATTTACATTTATTTGTATTAATTCTAACTTATAATTTGGATTTTGTGCTAATAGGTGGATCGTAGGTACTCGTGATATTATATTGGGGCATCGGGCAGTTAGGTATACTTGGTACTCGAATATTCAGAACATAGGAAATGGCTTGTTTTTATTGTGCTTGTATGGTATGCACGATAATTTACAGCACGATCTCAGAAGAACTTAAATTTTCAGAATCTTTTAACCCGTGATTTAGTCACTTAGTCATCAAAAAGCGCCCTCTATCTTTTCGCGCCCGGTGTGTAATCATTTCGTGTCTATTAGTTTAAAATGTCTATGGTATTATCGTTGATTATAAATTATCTATGATTTATTATTGCCCGTTATCAATGTTATTATCTAAATTTTAAATTAATCTATAATCTGTTTCAATTATCTTAAACCGTGTTCAAACTTCAAGATATCTAATATGAAATAATTAAATCAAATCATTTTGATCAAACTTCTCCTCAAATTATTATTGTATTATTGTTCTTAAAATGACCATAAGTTATTTTGAAGAATCCGGTTTTATAATTTCTAGAAATGAATAACGATTCCAAATAAATTATTTCTTCAGAACCATGACTAATCTTCACACTACAACAGCGTTGACAGAGTTTGCTCCCCTAAGTCCTGAACATGAACAATCATCTGTCGGTTCATTCTTTGCTAAAGTATTCAACTTTAAAACAAGTTCACCAGATGATGAAAGTAATACCGAAGTCAAGGCGGGTCAAGAATCGGTTGTAAACAATGTAAATATATCTTAATAGATTAAATGGTTGTTTTAATTATCACATTAACAATAATAATATCTATAATAATAAAACTTCAATTTTATTCAATTAGTTAGCTAACTGCATACATTATTACATACATTTACAACTCACAGGGTATACTATTATATTTTTATATTTCACATAAAGTATATTTAATTTACATTATTAGGATCAAACAGAAGATGATACTTCACAAGCTCTTATGGCTATAGATGCAAGAAATTTACCAAATATTTTGAAAAGAGTTGGTAGTTTATTACCAATTCGATCGGGAGTAAGTTAGATTAATTAAAATCTAGAGTTAAAATTAGATCAAAATAAATGTATGATTCTTTTGAAGGATTATCCATCCAACAGAAATACTGATTTAAAACAGTATTGGATGCCTGATTCTGTTAGCAAAGAATGCTATGATTGTTGTGAGAAATTTACAACCTTTCGACGACGTCATCATTGTAGAGTATGTGGTCAAATATTTTGTTCAAAATGTTGCTATCAAGAAATACCGGGGAAAATAATGGGTTGTTCTGGTAAGAATTATTGTTTTATTTGTATACAATTTTACTCCTCTTTATTACTGTGTCTGAAATAGGTAGAAAATAATATTAGGCAGTAAAAATTACTTTGACCTATATTTACATAAATACAAGTACAAAACAAACTAAATACTATTTGAAAAATATTTTATTTTACTTTGAAAACTACTCCAGATTATAAGACGTTTTCTATTTTTTTTTTCGCGTCATTCACATCATCTATTCATAATTTTTTAACATCTAAATTTCAGATACATTATGTAAAAAATTCTACTTTAATATAAGTAAATAAACTAGCTTTACTAAATCTAAATGGTAAATTTAGATATTTATTTGATTCCAGAAAAGTAAGAACACATTTATACCTTACTTGAATTAAATTTGTCTAAGATTAACTAAAACCAATAATTTATATATATTCTAAAATGTTAAAATTAGTTAAAATATTGTTCTCTATAGGGGACCTCAGAGTTTGCACATACTGTTGCAAAGTTGTATTATCATATCTACAGTCTGCTGCAAAAGATATAGTATTATCTCCTGATTTAATAAATCTCAGAAATGAGTTACAAGTAAAATTGGGCAATAATGAATTATTAACTAATTCAAATTTGAACACAAAATATTTGGAAAATATAGTTGAAATGAAAAATGCTCCTAGTAGAAAGATTTCTGTTGGTTATCAAGAAGAAAACTTTGCATTATCTAGGTAAATTTAAACAATATTAATAAATTAATCCATTCAAATAATTATTTTTAACTGTATTCTCTATTTGTATATTTTCCAATAATAATAATTATTATTATTTTAGTTCAAGTACATTAAGTAATTTATCGCCAATAGAATCTGCAGACGATCCAAATATATCTAATAATCTGAATTACTTGTTTGAAGAAATAACTCAAATTAATGGCGGGTTAAGTTTAAAAACACACCGGTACCATTTAAGAAGTTACCATTCGTGTTTTCTTGGACATAATTTAATTGATTGGCTTATTAACCAAGGAAAAGTAACTAGCAGGTAAAATTCATTAATAACTATCAAAACAATTATAAAAAGTAGATATTAACAAAGATACTATTTTGTTTAATATAATATTATTAATGAAAACAGAAAATCAATATTACCTTTTTTAAATTTGGAGCATAGTAATTTATTGGTTTTACAATGCTGTTTATATTTTTTGTATCTGGTATCTACTTTTTTTAAATAAATACTGCAACAATAGAAAAACGTCAAGAGAACTTTTTTGTTTTATTTTGGATCTAGATGCTCGGTAATAAAATAGTTTTTTCTATTTCCAAGTAATTTTCAAAATAATTGGAAAAACTGGACAAATAATGAAGACTAATAAATTAAAGACCTTACAATTTTATTATTTTAAATTTTCATCTCTATGTTTAATACCAGAAATATTGCTGCAATAGAAAAACAGCAAAAGACCTTTTTTTGTTAATTTTTAATTTAATTGGTGTTTAAGAAAGTCGGTTCTTTCCCTGGAGTTTTTTTAATAATTAAACAGAACTTAGAAATAACAGGAAAATGTATAAAAATAATGATTTTATTTTCAATTTTGTTTTTTTGATGTAAATCAATTAAAAATATTCGCTGAAATTTCAAAATGGACAAAGAAATTTGCAATTCCTAGATGTAGTAAAATTTTCGAAACATTTAAGCCTTTTTTAAGCTATTTATAGGTATTTTAATTTTGCAAGTTTTTATTTATTTTTATTTGGTAGGTACTATATTCAGATACAATTGTTTGACTAAACAAAAATGTTTTAAAATTTAACAGGAGGTTCATTATTAGTCTTACTTTTTCTTTTTTTTTCTGTGAAAAACATCTATCAGAAATTTTACTCTGATATACCAAGTAATATCACTTTTTTTGAAAGAAAATTTTATCTAGTTTGTTATTTAGAGAGGTTATTTTTTTGATTTTCCAAGTGGTTTTCCATATTATAACGAGGGGAAAATGTACATACATGTATAAAAGTAACTATGTTCCGAATCGTTGGTTAGCAATGGTTCATTGTTGTGTACAAATGTAAACTAATTTCCCCTATATATCTTCTCATATTTTCACCTGCTACAGTTGATGAAGTTTAAAATATGTCTGTTTTTTTTGTCTGTAAAACTTATAAATATAATATAATTATAAAGGTAAAAATTCAATATATACATTTGTTTATCTTTTGTTTTTTTTTCACACAAATAAAAATTATTTAATTAATTTTACGTATAGTATTTTTAAACTGTAATTACTAATTATATACTTATAATAAATATAATGTTAAGTATTGGTTTCTTCTAAATAAATATAAAAACAAACATATATTCCCAAAGACATAGAATCAAGAGTTTATAGTATAACTCAGGACTTAAAATACATCTGATTTCAAAGAACACATGGTATTATAACGTTGAAATATTATTCTGTAACACACTACTCACAGGAGGGATCACGTGAACGTATAGCATCTACCTCCCCGTGGTATATTTGTATAATATTGATAACGAGAAAGTTGTTATTAATTTATATTGAGATAAACAATATTTATTTCTGTTGAAATTCCAAAATGTTTATTATTCCTACAATTAAAACTAAAAACACGTTATAAAATTTGGGACACACATTTGTAATTCAGGGAACACAGTATTTTAGGTCCTGGTATAACTGATGTTTAGACCTTAAACTAATTTTCAATATACATTTGTATTTAGAATGCATGGCACAGCAATAGGGCAAGTACTTTTAGATGCTGGATACATAGAAGATGTTATGGATAACCAAGGAGACTTTGTGGATGGAAATTATTTATATAGATTTTGTTCAGTACTTCCAAATCAGTCTTACAAAACTGTGAATGATAATCCTACAAAATTTAGAATCTATGGTAGATAATTATAATTAATATATTTAGCTTAATGTGCCTGCACTCTTTTTTCGTGTTTTGTGTCGCATTCTTATGTAGACATTTTGATTCACCGAACTATACTTTTTGATACCATATGGTAGCATTGCACAATTCATACCTTACCAAACAAAACAATGAATTTGAAATATTTCAAGTTTTCGCAAAGTAGCAACTAAATATTTGTTATAATATATACCATGAAAAAATATTATGGAAGTATAAATAAATGATGATAAAAACACATAATGACACAAAGGAAGTATGCAGGTGCCTTAAATGGTGTTTTATTGTGCTTCTAAATATATTTTATCATAGAGAAGCAAAGTTCAAATGTGTCTAATGGGAGTTATAAATTAGACTTGGATATTCATAATAACACAGTTCTAATTTCAAAACCTAGTGTACAAAAAAAACAAAGTTCAGGTAAAACTAAACATTTTTCCCTAGCTATAATTTTATTTCAAAAAAAAAAAAATATAATTTTAGTTGTTGAACCACGACCTATAGACATATTAATAAAACAAATGCTGGTTATCATTGCAAATACTTATCAACGCAATAATTTTGGTACTATGAAAAATTGGAGTTCTCCCAAAAAACTGACAGAAGATAATAACGAAGCAAATATTTTCAGTTATTTAGCGTAAGTATCATTTATTTAGATTCTGAGTGTAGTGGGGAAACTTTTTTCAATTGGTAAAAATGCTCCTAAATATTCATATTATATCTTAAAAGATAAATGTATAAAAACTGGCAACCAATGACTATACATTGGTTTTATTTTTGTTGATTTCCGGGTTACCTTAGAATCGAAAAAACACAACTAATACTGCTTCTCCCGATATCATTGTTTGATTGAAAAATGTATTGTAGCTTTCAATATATGAATAAAAGAACTTTATATCCTATACCTTTCAAACCTCTTACCTATTACCATCTGCATTTGTATTATTAATACCTAAAAAAAATAAGGATATATTAATTATTATTTGTTTATTGATATAAAACATACATTTTTATCTATTCTAGGAGTATATTTGAGGACCATAAATTAAACTTCGTAAGACAAATATTAGAAAAGAATGGTCTCTCCAATAATTGGGTTGATACCTTAATAGCTCTTTCTGATTTAGTCATTGATGAACTCTCACCAGATTTATCTACAGATACAGAAAGTATGAGTATATGCCAGTATGTAATCTCTTTTAATATATACTATTATTAGAAGCTTTAAAATTGTATTGTTGAAATTAGTTATTGCATAATATACAACTAGGATTTTCCTGTATATTTTAGCTATTTACAGATAAAAAAATTAGAAGGAGGTGAACGAAGTGATAGTTGTATTGTTGGCGGAATTGTATGTTCTAAAAATATTGCAAACAAAGCTATGGCATCAAGAATAACTGGACCAAAAATTTTACTACTTCAATGTTCTATCATTTATCAACGTGTTGAAGGAAAATTATTATCATTAGAACCTGTTATAATGCAAGTAAGCAAAATAGTAATTATTTTAATTAGTTATATTCTACATAAAACTTAATGTTTAGGAACATGATTACTTCAAAAATGTTGTAAACCGCATTGTATCAATGAAACCTGATCTTGTATTGGTGCAAAAAAGTGTATCTAGAATTGCACAAGAACTTTTTAATAAAATGGGTGTGACATTAGTATTAAATGTTAAAGTATCAGTTTTAGAACGTATTGCTCGGTGTACTGGGGCTGAAATATTAACTTCAGTTGATGCACATATGGGAAAACCTGTGTTAGGAACATGTCAACAATTTTATGTAGAAAATTTTGGAAACAAAGCATTAATGTTCTTTGAAGGATGTCCTGTCCCAGAAAGAGGATGTTCAGTTTTACTTAGAGGTAGTAAAATTAATGAGTTAAAGATATTAAAAAGTATACTTAGACAATTAGTATTAATGATATATAACTGGAAATTGGAAAAATCTTATTTAATGGATCAATTTGCATCACCATTGGTGGAGAGTAAGCTAATTGATAAGCAAAATTCCTCGGCTTTATCAAATGAAAATTATATTGCTATTGAAAATAGCGAGACTAATCAGTCAAAATGTTCTAAAGTGAACGATTCAACTCTTTTAACTGAAACAGAGCAGGTTAATAAATTTCAAAACTTGTTGAACTCTACAATACTCTCATTATCACCAGTCATTTATGTAAGTAAACTGAACAATAAGTATTATAACTAGTTTAATTTAAAATTTGCATTATCCATTTAGTTTTCAGTTCCATACTTAGAATCAGATATTGGAAAAAAATGCAAATTGCGAAAATATTTTCCGAAACATATTTATGTATCACAAATTCTAAACAATATGAAATCATCAATAGACTCTAACCAAGAGAATGAAAATTCAGAATTGGAAATGAATGTAATTATATCCATTTTTTATTTGACAATCATAACATGTACAATTTAGAGATAAACTAAATAACTATACAAGTTAAAATGTAGTTTAATTAACATTAAGTATTTTTTTAACATAGCTAAAACCAAAGCATCCATTTGTAACTTGTAAATTAACTGAAGACATAAACAGTGATGAAATTCAAACTATGTTGGCTTTCTTTCGTGCTGAAGGTGGTAGAATATTACGTAGTGAATCAGACAAATCATTTATTAAACCGCAAAAGAATAATTATATAAAAAAAGAAAAACTCATTGATATATTTGATCCTGTCAATCATCAAAGATTGCCTGTGATGTTCTATAGTTTTTGTTCAGAATCAAATAATGCACCATCGTTTTGTGTTGAACCTCGGTTTGTAGTAATTCTATTTTCATATAGATAAAATTTAATTTAATTTGATTTTTTAGGTTGATGTTTATGGAATTTTATGGAGTTAATGATATATGCTTGGGTAGATTTTTAGAAAGATATTGTTTTCGTGAAACATATGAATGTCCATCTGATACATGTGACAGCCCAATGAATAGGCATGAACGACGTTTCATACACGACAAAGGTTGTGTTAGACTTTTGTTGTCTAACATTAGTGGGCGTTTAATTGATCCTCCGTATAATGAAAATTTAATTTATACTTGGTCATATTGTAAAAATTGTTCCCTAGTAAGTGTACATTTTTATTTATTTTTAATAAAATTAATAAATAAGACATAATTTTTTTTTTTTAGATAACACCAGTAGTGCCAGTCTCAGATGATACCTGGTCATTTTCTTTTGCCAAATACCTAGAATTAAAATTTCATTCTCAAAAATGTTCATGTCGTGCATTACCCAATTGTAACCATTGTTTAAATAAAGATTGTATACAATTTTTTGTGTATAACAAAACAATAGCATCATTCGAGTATGTTATAGATATGTATATGTATATATTTTTTTTAATAATTGATTGGTTTCATTTGTCATTCTTTTATTGTTGTAGATACATAGAAACTAAAATGTGGGAAATTAGATTACCTAGTTTAAAATTAAAAATAGTACCTCTAAAATTAAACCAATATTGTCCTGATATATTGGAAGAAGTAAAGCAGTGGGCATTGATGGGACATGAAATATTCAATGCAGTTATGACAAAAATTTGTTCTTTAGCGATGGAATTAAATGGTAAATTAAATTTTCTTATTCAATGAACTTAATAAAAACAGATCATATTTTCAGCAAATTTTTTACCATTAAAACAACAACTACAAAAGGATCAAGGATTATTTAAACAAAGGGTAGATGATATACAACTACGGATCACTTCCCCAGTATTAACTGACAAAGAAACAAATTATGGTATTTACTATTGCTATTTGTAATATATTAATTAATAATATTAATTAAATATATTAAATATTTTAATAGGGATAGTACTAAATACAATTTGGAAGTTGGATGATTCATTGGTTTTACTAAAGAGAGCTGTTTATGAATCTACAATAAATTGGAATTCTAGATTAATCAAAATTGAGGCAGCTGTTAAAAAAGATGACAAAACTCAGAAAAAAAGTGAATCTAAATCAAATACTATGTCTGAGATATTAGAAGAGATTATGAATTGTGAGAACAATTCAAATCCATATCTTGTGGAAGAATTTGGAATTACAAGTCATCCAAGCCAACATTCATTAGCATCTGAATCGGAAATAGCTGTTGAACATGATTTTGAAAATCTTAATGATTCTGAGATATTTCTCAGTAGAAAATGTTATTTATCCGTTCCACATACACAAAACGAAATAACAACAGACAGTGATAGTGATGCATTAGATGATTGTCAGTACAATATTACTAATAAAATACTGTTTGCTAACAAAATATGTTTTAATTGTTGTTGTTTTTTCCTAGGTGATAATAATGTTCCAAACGAACCCAGGTCTCAGTCATCTGCATCACAAACCGATAAGAAAAGTGTCAAAACAATTTTATCACAATTTTTACCATCATCCACACCGCCTACAATTATTCCTGTATGCATTTTATAAATATATAGTAAAAACTAAAAATTCAGTACAGATTTTACATAGTTGTTTTAATTTATAGAATCCAATTGAAAGTACAGAACATCATATACTAAACATACACAGTCGTACACCTATATCAATTTATGAAAAAGAACCAAGTTCTATTATTGCATTCACATTAAGTACATCTCTTTACCAAAATACTATATCAAACACAGAATTGATGTAAATCAAAATAATTTAATTTTAGTACAAAACATACAATTTAAATGCATAATAATTTATATTTAATTGTTCAAATTTGAATAGATCAAATGTTGAGCATGTTGAACAAGAAAATGATCCAAAAGAAACAAATGAAAAATCTACACAGCATATTGAGGTAAACATATTTTGTTAAATTAATAATATTACATGCAAAACTAATAACTCTTTTTGCAGATTACATTCTCAGATTCCACTACTAATTTTTATGTTAAAGTTTATTTTGCAACACAGTTTACAAAATTAAGAGAAACTTTCTTTACATCCGGAGAAGAAATGTATATACGATCTTTGGCAAGATGTGTTTCATGGTCAGCTAGAGGGGGGAAATCGGGTTTAAATTTTTGTAAAACAAAAGGTAATTTCATTTCAGTAATTTTTTTTTTCTAATTAACATTCATATTATATAATATTATATTATTTTCTGTTATTAGATGACAGGTTTGTATTGAAGGAAATGTCTCGTCTAGAGATATTGCCTTTTTTGGAATTTGCACCTCAGTATTTTGCATACATACATTCTCGTCAGATAAATAGACGACCTACTTTATTGTGTAAAATTGTTGGAGTTTATAAAGTAAGGTATCGAAACACTGTCAAGGGGTCATCTTTTAATTCAAACATATTAGTTATGGAGAATCTATTCTATAATAAAAATATTTCTCATATATTTGATCTAAAAGGATCAGTTAGAAATAGATTAGTTGATCCAAATTCACAAGATGGAGAAATTGTGTTATTGGACGAGAATCTTATTAAAAGTAAATTTCTTGTTATAATGTTTTACAATTAGTTTATATATATATTTGTATTAATAATCACATTTTTATTTTAGCCTCATGTGAATCCCCACTATATGTTCATCCTCATTCAAAAATAATTTTAAACCAAGCCATTAATGATGATGCAGAATTTCTCACCTCACAACTTGTTATGGATTATTCTTTATTAGTTGGTTTAGACGAAGATTCCAATGAATTAGTTTTAGGCATCATTGGTAAGTTAAAATTAAATTAATTTCTATTGTAGTCCCAATCATCCAAGATGTCTTAATAAATTGCTTGCAACAAGTTATAATTTGAATTTGAAATATTTTACAGATTATATTCGTACTTTTACATGGGATAAAAGAATAGAAACAATTGTTAAAAAATCAGGACTTCTTGGCGGTCAAGGTAAATTACCTACAATTATTTCCCCTGACGAGTACAAGAATCGATTTGTTGCTGCGATGAATTTATACTTTTTGTCAGTTCCTAATAAATGGACAGGCATGGCTAAAGGCTTTGAAAATAGTTTTTAATTAGATACACTATTTTACTATATTTTACATACTGTGATATTATTGAAATCTTTAAACACATTTTACCATTTTTGTTTTACATTACCATTGTCCATTAAGTTTTTTTATAATAAACACAATAAGAATGAACTATTAACATTAGATATGATAAACAGTTAACTACAGTGTACCACAAAATATTTAATGAATTGATCATAGTTTGGTGGATTTTCTTATTTTTTTCTATGTAGTTTTGTTTTATGGTTCTATTAATTATATTATATTAAAATGTATACCTAAATAATTAGTTAATCTAAAAATAATATAATATTTTAATTGTTCATTTGATGTTTTAAAAAATAAATAAAAACTATTATGAGTAGATTAACATTTTAAATTCTGAGCAAAGCAAAAAAATGTATTGATTTTACTATAATGTATGCTCTTTTTTTTTTCTGTTTGTTAACTAATTTTCTACCAAATATCTTGTTCCAATTATCAACTTGAGAGGTCCTTAACAGTAGTATACTTTGTCTATTATTTTTTAAGTTAATAAATGTATTATTAGTTTAAGAAATTACCTGTTCATTCAAATATCCAAAATCTTCCTCTATCAAACGCAATTCTTTAGGGTCGTCCACTACCAATTTGTTTCAAGTCATTTTAATCATCAGTCTTTTTTTTTTAGCTCAGTGGTGTTGAATAAAGTCCTCTCAGTACCAGAAGTACCAATAAACTCAATCCGAAAAATTATATTGTTTTAATTTGGAACAAATAAAACATAATAACATTTAAGTATAAAATATAAATAATAAAAAGAAATCTGAGATGATGAGATCATGATATGATCATTTAAAAATATTATTGATCATAACTAATAGTAATATTATTGATACAAAAGGAACAATTTTTAATTGAATTAAATAGGACTGTAAAAAAGTCCTTTAATTACAATATCATAATAATAAATTTGTTAAAACCAGACATGGATAAAATACTTTTAAAAATTATTTAGAATATATGTTTGAATACTTTACAAAATGTATTCTGAATATTGAAATTTAGGTGATAGGAAACTAGATATTATATGAAGATAGTTAACATATTTATGTTTATGTAATATATTATATGTTGTGCAATAAGAGGTATATTAAATTTAATTAATTCATAATAATATTTTTAACTTATTATTAAAAATAATAAATAAATATATCTAACACACACAATTCATAAAATCTATTAAAATAATAGCATTTCATTTCTAGAAAGGAAAGGGTAGAAGGACAATTTAAATGTAAAATCAAATTAATAAAAACTCGAATTATATTATTATATTATATTATTGCATGTTTAATTGGCAATTGTTAATTACTAAATACATTTTTAAAATTAAGGCATGCTTGACAAATTACATCATATGGTTATTACATTTTAATATTAATACAAATTCAAAATTTGTTATCACTTTTTTTTGTTAAAATAGCACCACCGATGCTAAAACTACGCTCAACAGCAGAACTGCTGGGTAGTGGTGTGTTGAATTTAATAAATGTTTTCTCTATGGTTGGTGCATCATTTAAGGAATTAAAATGTTTTGTTGTACTTTTGGATAGATAATAGGAAATTTCTTGTTCTAACGGAAGAGTCAGGTGAAAAGATTTGTTAAACCAATCAAAAAAATAATTTGTATCTTCACTCATACAAATTAAAAAACCTGAATGGGCCGGTAACCAGAATATACATGCCAGTAGATAAACGTAAAATATTATTGAGTAAAAGAATTCGGGAAAACAATACGACGATATCAATGTACGGGAGCACCCAGCGGTATGAATCGCACGGTCCGAGGACGTTCGGCGGACTTCACTGCGCGTGAACACGAGAAGTATAAGAAACGAAAACCGGACAGGGCAGTACCGCTCGCGCACACACGATGCGCGGAAATCACGCGGTCCACGGCTAAAACCGTTTGACACGGGCGCGTATGATGAGTGCGAATAAACTGCCGTCCGCGACGCGCTTCAAACGAAACTCGCCCCCCATTACCAGGCGCTTAGCATCCCTAGTCCCGGGTTCGCGATCGGCCTGACGGACCGTTTCGGTATTTCGCGTCACGGTGTTTGCAATTGTCGTTGGACGCGTTTTTGGTTTATTCCGAGACCACGAAAAACACATTTTACAGCCGTAACAATATTGCAACAGTGCGTGTGACGGGGGGGATACCAAATATGAAGTCAACGTATAGAAGTACCCACTCGTTCGTGTATACTGCAGCGCGAAACAAGGAGTCCGCCCGCAGCGCGTCGCACAAAAAAAATCGCCCCGGAAAATTCGACTGGTGCCCCTAATGAGTCACCGCGTCCCGCGCCCCGTTTACGCCGGTCCGCCGCCTGCGTATTACGCGTAATGCGTCGGTTTTTTTTTTTCCTATTTTTACGTTTCACGTCAGATTGACAGGTAATAATTTACGTTATTTAATCGGGTGAATGACGCGTCGTATTGCCGTCGACCACAGCGATATAACAACTCCGCCGGAATCACTACACTAGAACGTGACGACACCGTGCACTCGACCGGTCACCGGTGGCCCGTAGCCGCGGCGAGGGAAAACGGCGGTCGCGTGACAAGCGCAGAGCTTACATTTTACACTGTTCCATTATAAAGATAACGTCGACCGACCCGGGACGTGTGAACGTGGCTTCGCACTGTTCACATGTTGCGCGCGGCTGCGATGGCTCTGCGTCGTACGGGTGACGGACGGGATTGAAAGCACAATTCCGCGGCTCTGCAAACGGAAAAAACCGTTTCCAGACCAGTCGACACTTCCATTTGACAAGTTCCGTTTGACAACACGCAATCGTTTCACAATTTTCTTTTGGACAAATGATTCAAAATGAGTGACCAAAAAGTGTTTTTTTTTTTTTTTCCGAGGAATAAAATTCTTTCTAATAATGTTCAGAACACAGTATTCCGAATACTATCCATGTCTGGTCAAAACTAAATAAGTAAAAGTACTTACCTTAAATTAGTCTTCAAAAAATCAAAATTGTAAAACGCTTGCTATAATTCATTGTTATAAATGCTTATTTAAGTTTCACTGAAATTATTTATTCATTCAAAACACTACAATTGGTGAAAAAACGCATTACACAGGTAAACGACAAACGTCATCGAGATAACCCAAATATAAAAAAAAAAATACTATACCTACGGACCCGGCACCTCGCAGCGACCGTCTCGCCGCGACCCGCGTCTTATATTTTGTAACGCGAAAAAATCCGTCGAAGAATTTTTTCGTAGGAAAAAAAAAATGTGTACATCTTATAGAAATCGAACCCTGTACCCCGAGATTCTCACTCAAAAAATTGACCATTGCGTCACAACAATTATTAAATTAGAGAGTGTAAAAATTTGTCTACGAGCGTTCTATTTCAGGTGACGCCTAGACACACAGGGTGACCGTAGTTCTGCAATATTTGTCCTGGCCATTCTGTATTAAAACGTTCCTTAGGACGTCACTGTTCCGTACAGGTAGAAGCAACAGTTATGATTGAACAGTCACCTCATGGGCAACGTTTTGGTCACCGTGAGTGTCTAAAAGGCAATAGCTTACACTCACTCTTCTTTGAATCAGCAAGGGGTAAAGTATGTCGCGGTTAGTGAGGGGTGGAAGTGGCAGTAAAGTATGGGGCTGTCACGAAGATAAGAGAGGGGGTACATTTTATAATATCGAACTACGGATCCGGTAAGATAATTTATATTCTGAATACAACGATAAATCATTACAAACTATTGCTAATTGTAATATAGTCAACTCGCGATACAACGAATTTCACCGGACCGGGAAAAAAGTTCGGTACATCAAAATTCGTTTTAACGAAATTTGAAGGTAAGTTCAAAATTTAAATTAACACACTACAATTAATACACATTTATTTTCATTGTAATGATATTTACATATATGTAAATGTATACATGGTAAAATCAAAATTTATATTACATTAGCCAATCTGGCAATGATTTGCTATTTGCTAGATAATAGTGAAAATATAATAATAATAGTAGTTTTTTGTCTGTGACAACCACATTATCATCTGTATCACCCAGGTAACCCACGAATAACCAAAAATAAATAAATAAATTTACATAAACAAGTAGATATTCGTATTAAAAATACCTAAACACCCCTATCTAAATAATTCACAACATTGATAATGGAATGTTGAAGACTCCTATCTTTCAAGTTGAACCAAATCCACAGATATAGATAGTAAACAAATAAAATAAAATAACAACTATTAAATAAATACAAAAAAATAGTTTATTATTTCTATCAGTGACCAAATCACACACATTGAGCATTATTCAATCAATATCGGTTGAGTAATTTCAAAGTATATCGCATCTAAACTCGTGGTACGCGTAATTTCTATACGTAATAATGTATAAAATACACGAGTCATGAGTCATGCATGATAATGTACGATAATATGTATTGTAGCAGACTATTTATTTTGATTAGCTATGTATTTTTGTTTAGTCATTACATACACTATCAGACGTTTATCTATATTAAGTATCTTAAAAAATTAAAAATTCGTAATATCTGTTATAAAAAAAAAATTTAAGATAATGGGGATGGGTGCAGCCATTGGTGTTGGTGGGAAGTTGGAAAGGTAGGATACAGACGGGAATTTAATCTATACCTGTAAGCAACGATAAACCATTGCTTATGAAAAAAAGAATTCTGAGCGGAGTTCAGTTGATGATGATGGGTTGTTAACAATATACACTTATGCCATATTATAGTAAAATAATTAAATAGGCTCCGTATATTTTCTTTAATAATATTTGTTCAATGTTGTACCGATTTTCCCGATTTTTCTGATGTTTTATCCTGGTTTTTCACATTTGCTGGGAAAACTCGTGAAAAAATCGAAAAATTACCCTCTACAGTGCACAGAAGGCGAGATGTTCTAGACTCCCCAGGTTACACCACTAATGTATAATATTGAACCAATTGTACCTACTTGAGAAATGAAAATCTATTCGACGGTTTATTAAAAAAATTTAACAAAAGTGACAATAATATACTTTTGAGAGTTGTAGAAGATTTAAGATGGTACGAGAACTTTTAGGATTATAACGATTGTTATTTTACTATAAGGTTTTTTCTCGTGTCAGGCACAATGTACATGGGCATTGCTAACATTGGTGGCAGATACTGTAAATAATAATGAAAGTACTTAATCGAACTGTTAAATATTAGTTCTAATCGTCGGTCACATCGTTTAACGACTAGTATTTTATTTTAATACAAACATAATTCCTTATCGCCTTTAATAGTAAATAATTTCGGTATAACGAATTTTGTGTTGTATAAATCAAACAGATGTATAACTAAAATAAGCATAACATAAGAAAAATAAAATATAAACAAAAGATAAATAAATAATTTGAAATAAAAAATTGTCGCTTTTTTGGTTCATATGGTTTTTGCCAAAATCGGACTACGTCTATGGTGTTGTCATTTATGTTTATAACATCCTCTTGTGAACAGGAATAAGGACAGATTGGACATGACATGATACCTATATGCAGTGGCGGCTCGTGGGGTTCATTGCAGGTGGGTCACAAAAATTTCCCTCATTCTGTACTATCACAACTTTGATCTTACCACCAATTTCTGTTGATTTTTTTAAATAAAATATAATTCATTTTGAACAAAAAATGACAGTTTATTATCATACTATCAAAACATTTAAGTCTGTGCAACGAAAGACGGTCGACGATAGCAATACGAAGTCGATAAGACCGACAAAATCCCGTGAATCGTAATAAAAATAGAATCCGGGCACGGTCCGACTGTGCCCGGCAACGCCGTATTAATTCTTGTCGAAAAGTGGGGGAAATCTAATACCGTTCATCGGCGGCAACGCCGTATTAATTCTTGTCGAAAAGTGGGGGAAATCTAATACCGTTCATCGGCGGCGCAACGCCGTATTAATTCTTGTCGAAAAGTGGGGGCCGTATTAATTCTTGTCGAAAAGTGGGGGAAATCTAATACCGTTCATCGGCGGCGGCGGCGGCGGGCACAAATTCGTTGTGCCCGCCGCCCAACGCCCGTATAATATAGTGTCGTACGTATTGTACGCGGGAGCACTCGTATTTATTTTGATTACATTTTTTTTTTTTTCTATAATATTTTCAAATAATATGCCGACTATATTATTATGATGGAAACACCAACTCAATTTTAATTTAATATAATTTTCCGTCTTCCTTTCAATTTTGTAGGTAGGGCACGTGCCCGTGTGCCCCGTAGTACGAGCCGCCACTGCCTATATGTAATACAATATGACTCGTTTGATCTTTGATGTGCCTCCGCTTGTCTATTCCATGTTTCGCCTGCAATTTCCGAACAATGCATAAAATTCCTGTAGATGGAAAGTTTTTGAAAAACATGTAAAAAATCATTCATGATACCAGGATACCTACTTCATCAATTTATAAAACTCGAGATTTGATGACACCGTTATGCTATACGTGCGAATATCTAATAAAAAGTCACGAGTGCATCGTTTTTATCTATGAGATTATGCCGCAATAGGTACCCACACTTCTTATTCCTAAGTAAATACTAGATACTAAATATGAATACTAGATACTAAATATGAATACTAATGAGAAGCTTAGATAAATTTGTATAGTTATAACAGTTAATACGTAGTATTGATACCTATACCGATAGTTGTGTTTCGTATCGGACCATTGAATTTTTGTAGTAAAATATTATAATAATACCTATGAATGATAAGTGTTCGTTGGTAATCAAGTTATTAATCGTTAAATTTTATTAATTATTGCGTATAATATTCGTTATAGTTTAAGGCATCTACCGACGAAAAATATGACAATCGCAAAATTCGTGTTGGCGTTATTGGTTTTTAAATTTTACGTCCATGTAGTAGCGGGTAAGTTTTTTTTTTGTTCAAATTAAACTGTCATACTTTATACGTTCGTGAATTTGGCCCACCCATCTTAACTCATTCGACTTCAATCTTATGTCAAAAAGCAGCTAATTTAAACATATTGTTGTATCATTGGCAAATTAAGTTCTAGTTCTAAACTGGGTACAACAGTATCTTCAGTCAAAACACGAGTGTAGTATGTGCATACTGTTATTAGTTATATTTAATATAATCTTAAGCGATTATTTAAATTTGAATTATATTGACAATTTTACAAAATCTATTAATTATTTAATATTGAATATGTTTACCGTTGTAATAAAATAAAGGAAGTGGTGAATGCACTCCACCGTGGATGGCCATAAATAACCCGTTTCTGAAAAAAATTGAAACCAACACTAAATGGCTGGGTAAGACGTTCAGCTGCCCTTTCATTATGGGCGATCCGAAAAAGGAATATTGTTGTTACGACTCTAGTGGAAACGTCGAATGCTGCGATTTCCAAGATTATTTCTTTTTTAGGTAAGACCCATATCCAAGTTTTTATAACAACTACATTTATAATTGAATTTATCAAGGCCATAAATTGTACAGAAAATACTCTAGTATGTTCTATATTGTTCGGAGACAGATGATTCAACGTGAAATATTATTTTACACGTTATTACCCCCCCATCCCTCACGGCTACGGGTCTGCTAATATTCTAGAAAATAGGCGGGAAAAAGTGTGTATAGTGGCCGGGGGTAGGTTTGCGCAATAGTTATTCGTTAAGACCCGATAGTCGATTGTGTCAAATAATCGGTTATTAGATATATTTTGAAGAAGCAATTTATACACTCGCGATATGTATTCGTCATATGCAAAAATCAATTAGATTGTAATAATCGATATATCGGCACAGGCCTAGTAGGGGGTAACCTCCCCCATAGTTTTCCCATAACCTTTAATAATAACTGCCTCAATAATAGTTACGCAGTGAATTTATTTGCAACCTAGTACCATTACATAAATTAGGAGGGAATCCAGATGGGTTAATGAAATTCGCAAATTATTGTGGGAAGACAAAAACATCTTTTGTATTAATAACTGTCGCGTAATATACGTTGGTCAAGTGGTATTCACAATACATTACATTCAAACTCCAAACTGCCTTATGTTTTTAATCCCGAACGCAATTAATTATTATTTTTTACTATGAATGTACCAATGCACAAATAGTAATAACTTGTAAAAATAGTAAAAATATGTAATATTATATTTCATTCCAAAATGTCCTAAACCATTATGGTGTGTTGTAATTTTTCAGACTCCTATGTCTTGTACCTGTCATCATAATTGCAACGATTGGTCTTTTAGTCAGCACTATTGTTTGTTTCATTACTTGTTTTGTATGTCCATGTTGTTATATTTACAAACGAAGACGAAATACTGGAATAATTGCAATATGTGAGTATACAATTAATTCACCAGACATATTTTTTGTCAAATGTAACCCAACAAGCGGTTTTAATTCCTTTTATTTAACCAACTACCTACCAATATGGAAAAGGCCACACTATTACAATATATCTCTTCCCACACAAAAAAAAACACTTTTTTCTTTTAAATTATACTAGGATAAGTGCTCAATAATAATATTAATGTATTATTTCAAAATATAAAATTATTAATTATATTAAATAAAAAATAATTAATACAAATAATATTTAATACATAAATGCCATTAGATGCTTATAACTTAAAAGTTTTTTTTTTAAATTTATCATGATTTGCGTTAATGTTTTTTTTTTATAATAGAAAAATATTATTAGTATATTTGTATAGATACAGTATTCAATTTTCATTAAACAGCATAAAAATAAAATAAATAAATAAACAAAAAATAAATTTTACAAATTCAAAATAATAATTATAATATCAGTTTTATGTATAGCAAAATTAAATTAACTGACATCCAAATTATTATTTTAAATGAATTTGGCACAGGCTTTAAATGCAATTCTATAAAAAATAGATTTTTAATAAAAGATTTCTTAATAATACAAATATAATCTCTATAATTTGTTTAGAATATTTAGTATTGCTCTTGTTTATTTTGCATCATTTAGTTCAAAAAAGTAATAATACATATTTTTAAAAAAATAAATTTTTAAAAAAATAATAATACATTACATACATAATTAGCCTAATATTTTTAGAATATTTCATTTACATTGAAAAAAAAAAAAATGTAAATTAAAAATTACCTTCAATTTATGTGAATAAGAACTTAAATTTATAAATAATAAATACTATATTTATTTAAGATTTATTAGAGCTTACAAAATATTAGTAAAAGAAAAAAAATTACAGTAAAAAACGTACATTATTTGAAGTCTGGATCTAATCTTTTTATATTTAAAGCGTAATAGTATTCAATAATTATAAATATATTTACTTAAAACTACTGTATTGTGGAGGGTACTCGTTGGGTAGTAAAGGTGTAAAACCTGATGAAGCTGAAAAAAAAAATATATTTATTGTAGATGTTTTCTATACACATTAATTCCCCAGAATTGGAACAGTTATCACAATTTTCTTTACATAATCAATTACATTTTTAGAATTTTTTTTTTAATTCTATAAAATTATTTCTCTTTGGAAAATTAAGCACCTTTGTTTAATAAAAATGACAATAGACAATGAAAAGACTCTGCTTTGATTGTTGGTAACTTTTATCTTGTCTTAGAAAAACAAGAACTCAAAATACTAGCTAAATAATTTATTTTTTTAAATTATAAATTTCATTGCATGGTTTATTATTTTTCTAATACTTCTCTATTATACCTGTTGTTAAATCATTATCTTTTTAAAGAAATAAACAATAATAATAGTTATATTTTATAGCATACATTTGAAATAATTTCTGTAACCATCGTTTCATATTTTAATCTTTTCATTAAAAATTTAACTATCAAGCCAATCAAAAATGATAAGAACATTATGTTAGAATATTGGAACGGTATTTTAACTAAAAATTAAAAAGAATAATAATGTGTAATATACCTGAAGCAAAGATTTGATTATCAGGTATTCCAGCTTGAGTAGCATCTATAATGACATGGTTGACTGTAGGTGATAGAATGAGTACCCCTGCAGTAATATAGTTTTATACACAACCTGTGAAAATGCATTTGTACTGGTGGTCACGTTTCATTTTTTATGTATATTACTTATAAGTAAAAAAAAAACGCCACAACCAAAATTACATGCACTTTCAAAATATTAAATTTAAATAATACTAGGAACATTTTATTAATTTGAAAACTAATCTTATAAAAAGTTATTTTTGTTATTAGTAGAATCTTAAAATAATACGAGAGGATGTCATACCTGCATGTGTTGTCTTAGTCATACAAATGGTGTAAAATAACAAATTTTTGTTGAGCAAGGACAACTCGGTGCTATTAAGGAAGGAACAAATGAACTTTACCACCCCACTCAAAGTATACAATTTCTTTTTTTGGAACTCATGTTAAAAAAGACAGTGAAGTAAAAATGTGTGTCGGATGGACTCAGTTTCGAAGTTATAGCTCATTAAATTATCGCTAACATTAAAAGACCAGGTCTTCAGTTACAACCATAATTACGTTTTGCGAGATCATGAGTTGTAAAATTTTAAAAACGAAAAAAATTGAAAATTATTATTATGTAAAACCTGTAACAGGGGAAAAACAAAAATTTAAAAATGAGAAACCAATCATCCGTTGAAAACTATGAGCTTTCTTGTAGGTCTTTATTCTGCATAATATATAGTGGCATACCTACATTCTGAAATTATCATCTTTCTAAACTCGTTTCCAAAAATAAACTAAAAAATATTCATGAAAGAATGTAAATCTTAAAATTGCAAACTTAAAAAGGCTGTAACTTCAAAACTAAGTTTGTCCAAAAAATGTTAACTTCATCATTGTTTTTAACTCATACATATAATGAGTTCCAAATAAAAAAAATTATTGAAAAATTTGATACTTATCACATATTCTTATTGTGCCCTAAGGCACAGATGGTATATATTTTGTAAAAAAAAAAAAATTGAGTCAAGTTAAATTAAGTGTATTTTGTTTTAATATTGGAGTGAATTAAATTATTAAAATTTTTTTTAAAAAAAAAACAAGGCACAATTTAGATATTGTTCCTATCTTTAAGTTTGATAATAGCTCAATTCATTCTAATATTAAAACTAAAAGCAAAGATTATTCTTGCTGAACCAAAATTTGCTGAAAGACTCTGATGACACATGCAAATATTAATTAATGGTGTAAGATGAGGTATATAAGAGGCCAATATTCGCATTAAATAATATATAATTTAAATATATATATATTTTATAAAAATATTCCTCAAAAATTATACCTGGAAATGCAAAGGGCAAAATAATAAAATGTTATAAAATTTATGGAAATTGCTATACTCTGCCCAATGAGAAAACAAGCTGCGTGCTGGGGAAAATTCATATGATTTGATATTATTATATTGTGATATTATTTATAACTGCATCTTAGTTCGTCTTCACTGAATACTTCTACTCATACTCTTACAAATCGCACAACTCACAAAACTGGAATGGTTTCTCATATGGTAGAATATAAACAATAATAGTTTGAAATTTGATTAATGCATTTTAATGATTTAACTTAAATAACTATTGTGCAATACCAGAAAAGTGTCATTATCTGTGTGGTAAAATGAAGTTTGTCTTTTGCATATTACAAAATGTCAAGGAATTTTTTAAAGTGTTATTTTTACTATAAAGGAACTGAAAAAGTTTAAATAAAAATAACTTTATATAAGTATGAATAGGTAAAAAATGATTCACAAAAAAGAAATTTAAGAATTTCAAAAATTATATCAAACAATTTTTATTCTTCTTGAAATTGTAATGTATGTAATTATATTTCAAAAACTTTGTTTAAAAGATTAAATAGTAGAAATTAAAAATAATTGATACACATACATAATAGTATTATGTATGTGTTACATGATAGTATGCATTTTAATTTTAATGATTTTTAAGAAAAAAGAAATTAATATTTATCACTTAACAATAACCTACGATTAAATTTTTTTATTGTTATGAAATGTAAAAAAATAAAAATAAAAGAAATTGAATAATATATAGATAGCTATATTATATTTTGATTGAATGTACATTGATTTTTTTAGGGTAATCAGTTACAACTGTCGTGCATAACATGGACATATTATATGGTATCAGTCATATAACATAAGAATATGAACTGGTTTAATTGAAGCAATTTATATTTATTTATTTTAAGAATAAATAAGCTGAAGCTCAATAATCATATTTATATCAATAATTTATATTGGAAATTAAAAGAAATGTTTTAAGAAAATGATATAAAGTATATTATTTAAAATATTATCTATAACCAATACAACAAATGATACTGAACAATTGAAATATAACATAATTTTGAAATGTGTTTTGAACTACATCATTGTTTTAAGAAAGCAATCTTAGATTGTACTTACTGCCACCTTGTCTACGCTTGTAAATAGCACAACACGGACAGCACAAACAACAAATACAGCTGATAATAGATGAAAGAATCAATAAAATAATGAGGACTGGAATAAGTAAAATCAATCTGAAAAAAAAATTAAATATTAAATAATGATGCTTAGAAAGTCAAACCTATATATTATACATACCCAAATATTAAAAATTCTTGGAAATTACAACATTCAACCTTCCCTTCACTATCATAACAGCAATATTCTTTGCTTGGATCACCAAGTAGTGGTGTAGGACATCTATTAACGGTTAAAGATTCAACCTTAGATACCCATGGATTGTTCTCCATAAGCCATGGTAAAGTACAATCAACAGATCCTAAAAATATGTATATTATAATCAAAATATTTATATTGATTGTATACAATACAGCTAACCTGAATAATTTTTGAAAATTAATATTGTAAGTACCTAGGTAGGTATGACGGTAGTGCCTAAAGTGACTAATATTTATTCCATTCTTAGATAATTCAGAAATCTTAAATTAATAAGACAATAGAATTATATGCGGGAATCAAAGAAATATATTGGATATGATTTTTATTTATAGAAACATGTTGTCAAAAAATAGGTTTTATCAAAATTGTATACAGATAATAACTAGGGTGCGGGTTTGTATGTATTTATATATTTGTCATAAATTCTATTATAGAAATATTTTGAAGGGTAATCTTATTATTTTAATCTACAGTTGATATTACATATTTGAACTTACTTACATATTTTTGTTAAATATTCAGCTATTTTTAAAAAATTAGTGGTGTATCACTGCTGAACATTATGTATTGTTTGCTTTTGTGTACTGCAAGAACACTTTGATATCATTGAAATAGAAACAGTTTCAGTAGAAAATTCCAAAAATTAAATTAAAAATAATTTATTAAGAAATCATTTAATGTTATCCTCTAATATATTCCTTGCCAATTCTATTAGGAAACTTGAATTTCAAAACCTGTCCCTGGTTAGTAGCCTGGGTATTAACTATGATACAGTGAACAATTGAAAGAAGCTCCTACAGGTTGAAAAAGAACTTAAAACCTTGATTTTGATGGTAATTAAAAATATTGCAACATTCACAATGGCAGCAATACACAAACTTGTCTTGAATTCAGTATTAGTGAATTAATAACTTTTAAATTTTTTTTTTTATTAATATTTATTGAAAAACATACAATTGGTAAGTTTATTTTTTACAATAAGTATGTTTGATGGTTAAATTTAATGAATTATTACAAAGCGGTTACCCCGTAGTAACACTTTTGACTTGATTTTTTTTTTCTTACATATTTTTAATTGTTTATTTGGTTGAAAATCTGCACCCTAATAATAACATACCTTAAAATATTAATCGAAACTTAAATTCAACAATTTTAATAGGTACATTAGATGTATATAATTATTAATTAGATTGTAGCAAATAGAAATTGTTTAAAAGATCTTGGACTATGTACCTACTACGCACACAAATGGCAATTATTGACAACTATTTTCACATTGCTAATAATACCTTGGAGTCATCGAATTTTGAAAAAACAAAAAGCACAAAGCATTTTGATCATACACCTTAGAGTGTTTTTGATAAAACAAATCAAACACCAACGTTAATACACTACACTATAATATTATATTATGTTAAATTTATTTGAATAATTATTATATTACACACTTACCCATCGCGTTTCCACTGTAAAACGCGAAAATCACAAACAACACAGCAAACCCTTTAATTCCCATTTTTAAGAGAATTTATGTTTTATTTATGTGGTATGTAGGTATTGACAAGTGACTGGTTACAATTGATATTCGTTGTGAAATGTCTGTGGAACACAAATTAAAATAATAATGTTTTTTTTTTTTTTTTAATATTATTAATAACGAAAAAAAAAAAACATATGTCAATAGGAAGGCGTCAACACGTCCAAGTATTTATGTGAGGGGAGGTATCTAAATAAGTAATAGGTGTACGAACGTTCAATGTAATAATAATTTATTATTCACGAAAACGACGAGTGAAAAGACAACAACGCACCTATAGGCTGTAGAAGAGAAATGGAAAGTTTTCGTGGGACGTCTCAAAATATTGTACTGGTTGACTGAACACAATGAACGACTATGGTAACTGGCGACTATGGCGACTGGCGGCCAGCGATGTCAAACAATTACTATGAAACGGTTAGACAGGGAGACGATGAGCCGAGGACAAACGATGTGTACTATAACCAGTATTTTACAGGCTATCCAATAGAACACTTTCAAGGATTTTTATTTTTTTTTTGGTATTCTTTATTTTTTTTTACATCGTCAAAACGAAACATTGGAACGATCGCGAGCGAAACCTGCAATTATGCTATACACGCATGGGACGACTCCAGCAAGGCTCACTCTAAACCGTCACTAGACTATACACTACATTATAATATTATGTATGTGTACTGTTTAGGTACCTAACCCGGATAGACTTTGGTGCATTTGAATAAAAATCCTATCGTTTCATATTAAACAACAATAATCGGGACGACCGGACCCGTAATGAGTGTTTTTTTTTTCGTTTCAATTGCCTATACTATTTTACAGTGTCGACAAGAAAACTAACACCTGGGACGTTAATAATAATACATATAGAATATAGATGCGCGTGGTTCTGATATAATCATGTTATAAAATAATACCATCGCTGATTATAAATAATATCTATTATATAATAATTGAATAATGTATGCAATATTATTAATAATACTGATATCATTGTACGAAGGCCGATGTCACATGTCTACATTGATGAAAAAAAAAAAACCACTTCTTTTAACATATTTATTAGGTATTTGAACACGGACGTAGGAGGGTGTCTAGAAAGTGGCGCCGGAACAATTTTTGAACCGTGGGGGCTGAGAAAAATTACATACACAGAAGGAGGTAAAAGTTTTCCCACGTCCGTTTTGTGATTACACGTTATCTCTTAATATAATACAAAAGTTAAATAAGGGACAATTTAAGGTTAGTATTGAATAAAGAAAACAGTAGAAAATAAAAAGTCTTTACCGGTTTCGAATTCAAATCAGGTATACCGCAGTCGAAATGTAAAACGCGACTGTATATAAAAAATTTAACGAAGGAAATACATAGAAAAAAAAAAATCAAACAAATTTGTCGTTTTACATAGAATATAGAAATAATTTATTTTAATAGGAGAGATTATTTAAGACTATTTATTAGGCATAGATATGAGAAGAAACATAAATTATTTAGTAATTATTTATTATCTAAAGTGCATTGATAAAAGGCGTTATTTCTAAAATCGGTTTGAACATTTAAAATATTATTAAAATTATTTTTCTTTGTTTTATTGTGCATGTGTAATTATTCTAAAACTGAATAAACGTAAACGTTATTTATTATGTTATGGCACGATGCGAGTCGCGTTTTACATTTTGGCTGTGATACACCAGACGATGAATTTTTAATTCGAAACCGGTCGTATAATACACTTATCATAATACTCCAGGCGTCGCATTGACACATTTATTTTATTTGTATATATAAGTTTTTTTTTTTTATTTATATATTTGTTTACTTTATTTATTTACGAGCATTAACCATTAACCATAATTTTGTTTTTACTTTATTATTTTACAAACTATAGTATTTACAATCAAAGGGAAAACTCGCCTAAATCGCTAGTATGTACTTTAATTTGAGTCTCTTCAATTACATCGTCAATGTCACTGTTTTTATCTCGGTCTACAACAAAAAATTATCATATTATACATAAATAGGTAATATAATAAAACTGTCAGTAGACACTGGCTACATTAACATTCGGTTCTATGGTCTATCCGTACGTTATGAATTACTTGCCGTTAGCGTTTTTTGTATTCTTGGATCTTTTTTAGAAAAATGTTGTAATTTTACTTGATCGTTTCATCTCAACCAAGTATTTACAATTATACACTATAGGTATAGTTAAACCCGACTGTGTCCGATCAGATCGATTGTCGGTAACCAAAATGCTTCCAAATTCTAGGAATAAATTAGATTACAAATCGCAAGTCATATTGTACAAACGCAATAATAATGGATTTCCTGTTCTGAAATCTATTCTATTTTGGATGTTGTGGCTCAATATTTCGTTTCCATTTTCTAGATAACTGGTAATTCTCTTCATATTATTATCTTTTTTATTTTTTTACACATACCTAATATACTAAATCATATTAATACTACGTACATAGTACATGCGTGTTATTTTTAAATAGAATGATGCTCGGACAGTTTATAAAACGTATTTGAGTTTTGTTTCAACATAATAGCTATAGCAGATTACTGAAACCTGTGTATTTTAGTCACGGGAGCGTACATTCTAGGAAACTGTACATGGGGGCAGTTTCGCCTATCGTTCCGGCGCCCCTGTGTCCAGACACTCAAAACACCGCTCTGGTTGCGCCACTGCAACATAGACCTACACAGAATATTTATCTGACTGTTTTCCGACTATGAACTTTGTGTGCAGTGAAAATTAATTATAATTAGGGTCTATGAATTTGAAGCGAAAATAATTTGGAAAAATCCGAAAGAAAATTATTTGTAAAACGGCAAATATTTACGGCGTTCCCGATTTCATTGTTTTTATTTTTGCAACTTATAATATGCTTTCTACAAAAATTATTGCTCCAATTGCTCCGAAAATGACAAGAGTTCGATTTTGTTCCTTATAAAATATAGCCACTGTAGGGGAATTAATTTTTTGGTAACTAAAGTGGTTACAGGCAAACGTTGCGCGGAATCACCAGGTTGAGGGTTTTCGTGTATTTTGTATTTTGTCGTTTCGGTTCTCGTGATAATAACGGTACAATAATTCGCAAAACATCAGTTTCTGAAAATAGATTGATTTAATTATAGGTGGGCACCTTATTTATCGGAAAAGTGCCCCGCGGTCATCGACCCTGATAATGTGAGGGGCCTACTGCGGGTTTACTCCGGGTCAATATCCAAGAACCGACCCAAGTTGATGTCGGACGAAATGAAAACGGGACATCAAATTATTGAGAATAATTTAAATTCACCGTCGACTACATATTGTACAAGTAGCGATGCGCAGGCAATTTATTTTCAGATTAACTTTCCCATGATTGTAATGTTGCGAAATTAATTTATCCGAATTGAATAAAAATGCCTCAAGCATATATTACTATGCTAAAGTACAAGCTGCGGAAATCGTATGTAATTCAATTAAAATCGCAATCATTCAAGTAAGTGGGTAACCTTCCTGGTCAAATATTAAATGCATAATGTTAAAGCTAAACAAAACCAAATTATATATGCTTAGTATTTTATTTAATATTTCCAAGAATTAGGTATTAGTAACGATTATATTATATTGGTCGCTTGAATAAAAAACAATTAAAAATCAAATTACTCGTAAAATGATTGTCATCAATAGGTGACTGCTTTCCTCACGTTCTTCATTCATGTATACAATCTCTCATATTCGTGTTGTGTCACCGTGGATAGTAGATACAGATTGTATATTACTTTAAAAAAAAAAAAAAAAAAAACAACTCTTAAAATGACAAAGACATTTTTTTATTTAATACTCCCCGATAAATTGCTTACTTTATTTTACCAAAGTAATATTATTTACCGATTTACATCATTGCCTGTACGGTCTGCGACACACATATCAGTTAAAACGCGTTGCTCATATACAGAAAATATTTCGCCATGGTGAGGTTATATGGTCAATATTATTATTTTTTTTAAATCTGGAATATTTTGACTTATATTGGCCTTTTTTAGACGTGACCAAATTTTGAAAATATGTTTTAGCTCTTTATACTTTATAGGCATTTTATGTATTTTAAATCCTCCTAATTTTTTTCCAATTCTAGCTCTGCAATTATGATAACGAATACCTATGAGCCACACTAAGAACAAAAATAAAATTTTATAAGTATAAATAACTATCTATATAAATAATTGTACTTGTTGTTGTTTTCATTAATGGTGTATTCATTTTTGCTGAAATATATTATAATATAAAAACTGCACGGTAAAAATTAAAACATTGTAATTGTTACAGAAATTGCAGGAACAAATTAAATTATTTATTTAGTGTTTTTAACAATACGAAGGTAGTTGATGTCAAAACTGCAATTCATCAAACTTCAAAATTTCCAGAAACGAACATAACTACTAAATTAGGTAAAAGGTAATATAATTATAATTTGTATATATGTATTTTATATTATAACTTATTTTTCGTGGATACCTATATTATTTATCGTGGGACCCCGAATACATTGGTTGAATAGAATGATGGGGTTAACTATTATATAATAGAAAATAAGTATTATGTATATTATATGTTAGATATCCAATACAAAACGTCAAGGCCACACGAATACAAAAGATATTTTTTTGACGCCCTTGATTAAACTGTTTCAATGTCCCCTTGTGATGTTTAAACTAGACACCTATGTGTATTTTCCCACTTGTTACACACTGTCAGTTTTCGGTTTCTTGTATATGTATATACATATATCTCAATCTCATAATTCGTAATAGATATTATCATTTATTTCTCATTGTCATGGCCGGATTGGGAGCCGAAAACCAACTGGACACACGGTTTTTACCGTATCAAATTGATATACTTAGTAAAAAAATAAATATATTGACAAATATTTGATATGATGATATATATATATTTTTAAAATATAACAATGTATACTTCTATCTGCATTCACATTATTTGATGTTATTTTTAAGTCACTCATTTGTATCTACTTAATGACTGTACTTGAGCCTTTGGCGTAAACTCAAATAAATAAATAAATATTATATTATATTATATCACCACATACTGATAAAAAACACACAAGTTTCTGATTTTGAAATACATGATTATAAAATATTTAGTCAACAGTGTCTATGAAGATATACCCGTTGCGATATCTCGAAAAGTAGTTGACGGAAATCAAAAATATCAACACCAAAATGTAATTTGTTTAAAACATCATCTATGTTAAATAAAGGCTGTTGTTTGAAAATCATAGGTTGGTGAGTAGTGGTTTCACCCTAAAAATAAAGATTCCAAAATAATATTATGAAAATGTTAATTCTCTCCGTGATAAGGAATTTCTCATAGAGGATTGGTTACTGGGTACTCAGTATACCAATAAAATGATAATATACTTTTATTATAGACTATAGTTATAATAGTATAATAGTACTTAATAATAAATTGATTCGTTGTATACAATTAGTTTACAGATAACTAAAAGCAGTATATTATAAAAAATATATGTATAAAAATTATAATATCTTATTATTATCAATTAAATTATGTTATGTGGTTTAAGTCAAGTTTAAGATTTAAAGTATATATGTTCATGGTTTAAGTATTATCTGTAACAATATTGTATTCAAAAGAGCTGTGTGTGTAAACAGTAACGTAGGAATTGAATAGTATTATACGCACGTATACTACAGAAAAAAAAATATTAATTATTTAAACCTAAATATTATACAGGTATTATTGGAATACAGTGTACACTGTTACTGTACATTGTACATACTATAGTGCCTATATAATATAGAATTTCAATATAATTGACGTCACAAAACTAAAATAATGAATATATAATTAGATGCATCTATAATGACAAAAATAAAAAAACACGGACATAGGTATTTCGCACGTAGGTGCAGCCACTGTTGTAGGTGGAAAGTTGGGAAGGTAGGATACAGAAAGGAATTTTATGTATATCTGTAAGCAACGATAAACCATTTCTAATGAAAAAATGATTCTAAGCAGAATTCAGTTAATAGTGATGCTTTGCCAACAATATACAGGCTGTCCCACCAAGATATACTCCTCAAATATCTTCGGAGATGATAAAGATAACCAAATTCTGATTTTTTTATATTACTTACAGAGAAGAGGACTATACATACTTATATTTGAATTTATTTTTTTTTTTTTTATTAAAAAATTCAAAAATAACTTTATTTTATTATTTATGGAAAATTTTAAGATGGCTATTCTGTAAAAATGATTATTTTTCTGAAAATTTTAATGTTTCACACATTTATATCCAATGAAGTTTCTAAGTAACAGCCATTTTAAATTCTACTAATCCGTATGAAAACCGATGTTATCTAGGGAAAAACCTAACCGTGTAACGCAATAAAAAAAAAAAATTAATATAAATATTTTTAGTCCTCTTCTATGTGTGTAATATAAAAAAACAAAATTTGATTATCTTTATTATCTTTGGAGATATTCAAGGGATATATCTTTGTGGAACAGCCTGTATACCTATGTCATATTATGGTAAAATAATTAAATGATCATTATATATGTTCTTAAATAATATTTTTTTAATATTGTACCTATTTTCCTATTTTTCCTAAGTTTTCTCCGTTTTTTTTTGTTTTTATTGGGAAAATTTCTATCAAAAATCAAAAAATGACGTCCCTAAAGTACCTTCCCAGTCAGATTTTCTTTCAGAAAAAATACTACCATTGTAAATTGGAGCAAAAATGCTAGTAAAAAGTTGTCCACAGAAATATAAAATCATAATATTTTATTAATATATTTCAAACATTTTCCCGTTTTTTCGGTTTTTCACATTTGATGAGAAAACTCTTATGCAAATTTAAAATGACTTACTTAAATTACCATTTCAAGAAAATTTCTTTTCAAAAAAGGGTCTACATCGTATACCTACATTGCTGTAAGCTTTCTGGCAGAAAAAGTGTTCACATATAATAAATAAAAAATTAACATCTTTGTAAAACCAATACATCTTAGAAAAAGGAGAAAAAATGTTTTTACGGGCATTTATTAAATATACAATTAAATGAATATTACGAAAACACATTAAACAAATTTAATCAATAGTACGGAGTACCATAGGCACAAATAGTTTAAATAGTTTAAATTATATGGGTAATTGACACTCCATACTATTGATTAATATTGATTATGTAAAAGTACTCACTAGTATTTACTAGCTGAGAATAAAATTTAAAGGGACCTGGCTGAGTTTTGAGGTACTAAGCTCCCTTCCAAGCCTTACTATTTTCTACATGTGTGGTACCTACCTTTTTTATGACTGCTCTTAAGGATTATTGAATGTTTTCATCTCTAATAGTTTAAAGTATTATAAATTATAACAATCTACAATTATATAATAAGGTAAAAAAAAAAATTATTAAAATGTTTAATACTCTTAAATAAATATACAAATAAAAATGTATGTATAAAAATAAAAATAAATAAATGTATACGTCACACACAGAATTATGTACACGACCGGTTTCGAATTAAAAATTCATCATCATGTAAAACGTAATCTGATAATTAATTTTATGACCGAAACCGGTCGTATAAAACGTAATGCACTTATCATAATATTCCAAATAACAAATTCATCCATTTATTTATTTTTATTTTTATATATATATTTTGTATTTATATATTTATAACAATATATAAGCAAAATTTAGAAACTATTACAATTATTTGTTGTATTACATTCCATAATATTATCCTTGAGGCTTGCATATATCATAATAAATTTCTACTCTTGTTTTGTTTACATAGGTAATTAAGTATTTTAAAACTTTTTTTTTCATCGTCTAATTGAAAATAACCGAAAATTAAATTGAAACCTTAATGTAATATAATGATTATGACATGATGGTGTATAAAATATTACTGGATCCTGGATAATAGATGGTATATAATATAATGAAAAAATTGTATACTAGGTGGTTATTAACGATTGTTCACAGCGAGATTGTACTCAGATATTTATGAATCGTGATGAGCTCATCGTTCATAGATCTAGCAAGGTCACGGTTTTGTTTAAACCGTGTATTTAACACACTACAGACACAACAGAGTATTATAATATTTTTGTCTGTGAATATTTCTGGTTTTAAACATTCTATATAATTTTGTATCAATTCTTAGTATCTAAATAAGTATATCATAAGTAAATTTCATAAAATCAAAAATACAGCCTCTGATAAATATGAATTTGTATAGTTTATAGTTACGTTCATTCAAACTTGAATAATAAATACCTACCATCAAATAATTTTTCCTAAATATATATAATAATATACACAGTGATTTTTTAAGCATACTTAATGCTTACCCCATGGTTAAATTATACATAAATTCAAATTCTTATATTAGGAATTTTTTAGTGTAGTGAAAGACGATATTTTTGTATAGGCACTTAGATTTTTCACAACACTTAAGGAATATCCTGTGATAATACCAACTTTGGTAAAATCACCAGATGATGTTGAAAATGCTATTAATAATTTTATCACATGTATTTAATCTGCCGCTTGAGAATCATGTACCCAAAAATCACAACAAACCCCGATTTACTCTCCTCCTTTACCTACTTTTTCTAGAGACTTAATCGTATAAAAATGTCGTGCTCAACCTATGTGGCTATGTAACTATGCCGCTCATAAGCGTGCTTCCATTCTTTTCAAAAGTTTGCGAAAAACTTATTTTAACGTGTATTACTCCAATCATAAGTGGAAAAGTCATACTGCCAGTCAACCTATTCGGATTCCACGAACGACACATAACAATCCACCAAATACATCACATAATTGATCTTATCTACCTTAGTCCAGACAAAAATAATACTGCTCAACTGTTTTCATAAATATCTCTCAGGCGTTTGACCATGTATTGTATCCCTATCGCCATATCATTCCACTTTCGTACTTTTTACTTATTAAATCCTATCTGGATCAGTTGCATTTCGCTACCAAAGTAGGCACTGATATCTTTCAAATCTGCAAAATACAAACTGAGGTTCCCCGAGGAGCTA